GTATCATACAATATTCAATAATAAATTCACTCATATTTTTCCAGCTGATAGAATTTTGTGATGATGATGGTGTTCCTTTCACTGTCGAATTAAGCTGTCCCCCCTTTTCTAAATCTCAGTTCAACTAGTGCTGATTGTTATAATTTAAATCGCGGCATTTTTCATCGAACTAAACACGGCGTTCTGTCTCTGTGGGCTGACACACTGTTCGTGTCATCAACGTAGCGATACTAGTAACAAAGTTATGTACCGTGTTTACCCTCGAAAAGCATTTCAGTGTGCCAATTGGCTTGACGAGCGGTCTAACTAACCAAGCTGACGATTGGCAATGTGGTTTGCCCGATGGCCTGGCGTATGCCGAAACATTCGGTTGTTTAGGTAACTGAAAGCGTCTTATGACCTCATTACATTTAGCTCGTACAGCGTACTCAAATTTTAAGTGACGTTACAACCCACCCGCAGATGAGTGAGCTGATGAGATGGTTGCCTTACACTCCCCCGCCGAGGTCGACTGTTGGACTCTGAAAACGAGACACACATAGTACAGTGATACACGTTATTTCGCCAACACATTCGAGAATGATTTATTCTACAATAAATGCGAATGAACAAACGATGTTTTATATCTGCTTGATGATTGCAGCAGGATTCTGCAGGTAACTGGAAAATCATCGCATTAGGTGTTCTCCATGTGCCTTTTGTCTTACGCTCAATATGCAGGAGTAGAACTGTCCAAACCCTCTACAAGGATATCTCTGCAAAGTTGATCGAATTCCTTAATAATATTATTCCAGTCTTTTACTAAAAATATACTAAAGGAGTTAAACCTGACTATAAATTAAGGGACGAGTTATAAAAATAAAAAAAGCTAAATTATATTTAATGATTGCTTAGTCCCTTTTCGAACTATTTGAACATGTCAAACATTCGTGTGCTCTTTGGGCTCACCGCTTTACCACTCTAAAGTAAACCTCATATTTAAATGAAATTGTTTAAAACTTCACTGACAGAAGACAACTCATCGGCATTCTTTTTAGAAACCCTGTTTGTATCGCGTCGCATTAAATCACTCTGATTATATATTTTCATAGTGCCCAGATATTTATTTAAGAAGAGCCTTACTAAAAACAAAAAAATTATGATAATAATGTTAATACTAATAACCTATGGTACACGACAAGGGTGCGGCTAATAGCAAAGAAGTAAAGGTACGCAACTTGAACTCTGCAGGCTAATACATATAGACCAATCTTGGTATGTTAATCGAACGAAATAGGCCGGTTTGTCATTGAGCCATTTTCTTTGCACTAGATGATAAAAGGAACATTAGGTACACGAAGGGTAACGCCGCCACTAAATTGGCAAGCATTATTTATGTTTGTCTATAATTCATATTTACCTAACCGAAATAACCTAAGCTTCTCTGGTACTGTTCTAAATTTGCCCCTTGGACGGTAAATTGTTTTGTGTCGCTTAATAAGGCAAGAGAAGAACAGAGCAAAAAAAAGTTCGAACGTTGTGACAGCAGGCGCAAAAAGTACTAACACAGGTCTGAACGGTTGATGAGCCCAGTCGCGAAGTTTTTTCTTAAGTTTCTTTGAATGCTGTTTATGACCGTGGTTTTTTCGACTTCCGTGGCCTGGCGTTCCCTGCTGGGCCGTTCGGTGGCCGTGTCTCTGCTCGGCAAGCAACGAAAAACACTGCTCCAAACTCACAACAGTCGCTGTTGAGGTGGCCTTTAACAGTAATAGGTCCTGAATTTGAAAAGGAAGCTACCGCGTTAAAAAAAATCAGGTAGTTGGAGATAAACGAAACCACCAATTACTTGAAACCAATGATTTCTATTTCTGAACCCATGCATAAGCTACAACGATCACTGCTGATTATTAAATTATTGACAAGGTTTCATATGGTAAAATGAAAAGGCAAATTCGTTAAATCACTTGCAGCGAGGGTGGGCCGCCGAATTCACATACGTGATGATATCAGTCTGGAAGAATCATCAAACCTTTTTGGACTTGAGTGATACTTTCAAGCTCCTGAGTTCTTAATATCGGCTAGCTATTTTATCTCGTTTCATTGGCGAGAATGCGCTACACCCCCGATTGGTGTTACACACAAAATAAGCCATCTGCCGTACTACCGGTATCATTGCCTATAAAGTAGTGTAAGTTTTACGAAATTTTAATCGCTACTAAAAAACAATCCATATGTAGGATCTAACTATGATCTGTCTTAAAAAGAAACGCTAACATCTCAAAGAGGGAGCGCCCATTTTCCTAGAATCACCCAGCTTCAGACTTCATTACCCGCTCCTACCTGATCGTGTGGTTTGATTTGCATAGCATTTGGTAACGTTTCGATTGCAATGGCAAGGTCCCTAAACGCCGTGTTTGCTTCAGCCAGTTTTTGCTGCAGTGACTGAAATGCCTCGCCAGGACATGGTAGTACTCCGGGAGGTTGTGGCCTGCTGTTTTCCTTATCCTTAACGCCAATGCCGCCCCCTGCCCCAACAACTGGAAGCGGCGGATGTTTAAGTCCGATAGAGTCGGTGTGTGCCTCAGCTACCGAGCGCATCCGGTTGACCCAAAGTTGGCGCTTTTTCGAGTCTTGTGCTCTCAGTCTGTAGATTTCTCCACAGGCCGCCGATATAGTGAACATCTGCCCATCTTCCTCCGATGGTGAGATTACGGCGCCCTAAAAACAATCATAACACCATTAAACAGAATATGCCTGTAATAATGGTACTTGTCTTGTAGAAGAACCAAAAATAGGAGCTGTTCTTTACAGAAAAGTGTCAGAGATGAAAACTCAGTCGGAATTCCTTGCAACATATGGCGAACTAAGCACGCGATGCAAAATGGTACTTCTGTGAAGCGCCTCGAAGGTCTAATCGTCACAAGGAGTAACAAACGTACACTTTTTTCCTAATATAGACAAGGCCCTACGGTTTCAAAGTTTCTAAATGATTTAAACATATTCAACTCCGCGTTTGTCTGGCGGTGGCAACCGCCGTTCAGCTTCAAATCCAGCGTTCGTGGTGTTTGTTTTAGAATGAAAGTGTGAAGTGCATTTGTTAATTATAAATGAACGGAAAGGAGCTGAATGGACTACATACCGCGAGGTGCATCGCTCCCCTTGGACGTGTTTTCTTGATATCCTCGAGCATATAGTATTCAAGTGTGCCCAGCTCTCGATTGAGCACAAAGAATCGATACTGGTAGCCCTTTACAACATTTGTATACTTGTATAACTGTCCTTCGTAGATACCCCTGTAAAATCCGCCGGATCCAATTAGATTAATAGTAATTTTATCGGCACAAATATGCATTATCACAGCCGGCACAAACCTAGGCAGAGTTTGGCCCAGCGTAAGCTGATGGGTACAGGCCAGACGTTAATAAATTATTCTTTAACTGCAGTACAAAGTTACACACCGAGTATGATTCCTAAGTAAGTTGTAAAATCCTTAATTCAAAATCGTTTAGCTCTGCACTGAATTAATTTACATGAGAAATTCATATTAACCTTGTAACTGGCTTATTTTTTTATGATAGGCGATGCTTCAGGTTTAGTTAAATTTAATGTCTACTTTAATTCGACAACGAGTGGATATCTACAAGTATGCTAAAGACGCTATGATAAAAACGTCCTGAGCGATCATTTAATGATAATGTAAACATGTTTGTGTGTCTGAATCGGTTTATCATTACGTACGATCATTCAAACTAATTGTTATTTATGGAATATGTGCTAGACATAAAAGTAAGAACTCATAATTATGAGACGCATAATTTCTTTTGTATAGTTAATACTAAGTCTAGAATGATAACAATACTGAGACGAATTTGACAGAGTCAAAAGGCCCTAAAGCATAACTACAAACTTTATAAATAGCTTTACTAGGGTGAAGCCAACTAGAAATAGTCCGTTCTTTTTTCCGTTCACTTAGTGCTTTGTTGGCTTTCACGCTATACAACAACTGTGTCCTAGAAACAGGGCAGCCCTTTGCAATGAGTTCAAGACTGGGACCATGTCCTTTTTTGAATTACATATAAGAATTTTCTGTGGAACAGAGATACACAAACTAGGATCAAGTGACTTTAACAAAGATGAAGGGTTATTTCCTTAAGGTTTCCAAAGCAATGGCTGCTTTCGACCAGTACACATAATAACCTTTGGATTATGCAGATGAAGAGCTATGGGACTCAATGTTATGTAATATCAGTCAAACGCAGCACACGGGCAACAGACGCATGGAAAATGCGGACTAAACCACTTAAGGATCAAAAGTCACGTGTGAAGTATTTGTTGCATTAAATCGTATCGAGAAAAAATAGAGAAGGCCACGTAACGAGATGCTATTACCAATACCAACGAGATCCATTCGGAGCAAGATTACTTCCGATAGATTTTACCATTAGGTACTGACAGATTCTTTCCTCGGTAATTTCCAATTGTGGTTACCAATTCGAGCGAAGTCTTCAGCCAACAGAAATTATATAATAGTGACAGTGCATCCAACAACTTGAATTAACACAAGTGTAATTCATCTGTTTAGAACGAGACCATTTCTACTGTGATTTTCGTTGAAAAACCAACACCCTGCTTTTGAAAGATTGGTAGGAAATATTCAAAGGGTTGGTAAGCTACTGAAAAAGCACTTCACCGTTTTTCACACACTTGACCATAAAGTGTTACTTTCAGTAGGTAAACCCAGGCAAATGAGATTTTGTCGTACTAATATACAATGGTACAATAACCGAATAGTTCGAATATTAGGAGTGCATCTCCTCTCCTGCTACTAGAATATTTATGTATTAAAAAAATATATCAGTGAGTCATATTATTGCGACATTAATGACACTAGTGACGATATAACATACGTTGTTCGAATGCAATATTTCCTCTATTGGTTTTTTTTTGCTTCCTAAGTATTAAGCGCTATCATAACTGCAAGTACCTCTTATTTTTTACGCACAGTAAGTTCTGCGTAAAGATATGTCAACAACTATTTTGGCTTGACAAAGGTGACAACCTCAAGAACTTATAGCTTATATATATATATATATATAAGTTTTTCAGCCAGGGCATAAGTACTATTTCTAAGTAAAATTTCTATTTAAAATGATACACTACGGAATCACGAGAATTCGATATCTAAAAATGGTTTCAACAAATATTTTACATGTCTGCATTGTAATTAAATGGCAATATAACAATCCTGTCTCTAGGAAACGGTACGACAACGTTTTGGTCTTTTGTAATGGAACGTAAGGAATCCAAAGTCTATTGGTAGCAGAACGCATCGTCCTCCTGACGAGTAACGTTTATGTACCTTTCTTACATGCAAGCAAATTATTAATCTCTATAGGTGTCTTTCATCGAAAAGGACAAAGAGACCAAATGAAGGCCAATATATGGTCGTACCGCTTCCTAGTTAGTTATAGTTTCTATTGTGACAAAGCGGAACTTGTGTACTAACCTCGCTTGAGCTACGTCGTTCGAATCCAACTCCTGCGAAAGAATATTTGAGAGAGCCTGTTCAACAAGGACAACAACGGCACCACAACAAATAGCAACAATACAACACAGCAAACAGGGAAGCCAAACAGAAGCCAAGCGAGGCAACACGAAGGTTCATAATATGCTTGTTCTTAGTTAATCTTTCAGTAATCGTTGGATAAAGAATGCGACGCCGACTACTGTAGGACGACGGATTGGGTTGGGAACATGCAATTATACCATGCATAGGACATATTAGGAACCGAATCTACGACGGTTTGAACTAGCCATGAGACCCTAGGTAGGTATTGCAAAATCTACTACAATCATAAGCGCTTAGTATTACTCAATAGTCTCTGTTGTGCGCACATACAAAAAAAAAATCATCAAATAACGATTTAGCTTCGCACACTCATTTTCATTTCCGATAAAGTTGGTTGTGTATATAATGACAAGGTGTTTAAATATGCTCACCGCAGCCCCGTCCCGCGTTTCAGCCTAAAAACGGGGAAAAGATATAAATATATGAGACGAACAGTTTGAGAATAACAAGAGATAGATATAAAAATCATAATAGCCTATCTATTATAGCGGCGTTCCCGCGTGCAGCTTGAAGCAGAAAATTATTTGTTTAGCAATTTTTTAATCACTATCGTATCGTGTTTAACAACTATCGTATTTTAAGGAAGGATCTGGATTATTTCGCTAAAACGTCTACCTGCACGTTGTTGTAGATTTTAACCATAGATTCACCATAGCAATGAATGTTATAGGCAGAACATCTTTCTTAGAGTGATGCAAAGACTGGGCGCAAAGAAAGCGCAGTAACTATAACCAATAAACAAAAGTAAGAAGAACAAACTTGATACAACGTAAATATATCGTTTCGTAAACATACGTACACATAAAATACGCATACGTATATATACAAAGTACCCCAAAAAAATCTACACACTGGGTCGTAACATCGTAATATTTTACCGTGTAGTCAATATAAGATTCTAAGAGGCTCAAGATTAATTTTTGGCAGAAATTTATTCCAAAGTGTTATTATAGGTATGTAAACAGGTCCGCTTGAAACTGACGGAACTGTTTAAGGGGGACCTAGAAAATCAACGAGTTTTACTAACTAAGAAAGAGTATATAACAGAACATCCCTTTTGTATACAACGTCATGTATCGTAAAACAAGCAATTAGTAACTTTGAAATCAGCAAATTAAGTTTCCGCTGCACTTGTTAGTACATGGAGAAGCTGAATTTCAAAAACGGTATATGCTATCAGTGAAGATGATCTGGACCGTAGAAAACAAACTCGATTTCCAACATGACGGGCCACCTATACATTATCATCGAGATATAAAAATTATCTTGATGGGAGTTTTTCAACTAGATAGGTCTACTAAGCAGCGGGCAATATATTCTATGGGACCACCTTGCCCAGCCTATTCTGCCCGTTCCTTAGACCGCGCCAACGGATTTCTTGTTGTGAAGAAGGCTTAAAAGCCGAAATATAGTAAGGTTGAGCCACAGCGGCAAACAAACAAGTATGTGAATCACTGTTGTCAACAGTATTCACCATAACAGGTATAATAATAACAGAAATACTAATAATACGTATATAAAAACTGAAGTTATAGTTATTTAGACTGTGTGTATTTTTTAGAGCATTTTGTATATATAACTAACTCCTATTTGATTATTACTATTATTATTATTATTATTATGGTTTAAGAACGCGAACTTACACCAGACATTCTTTTGTCTCGGTGACCTCAGCACGTATCTTGTTAGCCAAACTTTTTGCGCACTTCAGCAACTCATATTGTATTTTATTCACTAGAATACATGTGTGGAAATTCACAATCCATCATCATGGATTTAATAGTGCACTTCTGCTGATAAATCCGAGCAGATTCAGAGACTATTTATGTCTGCTAGAGAAGTTTCGACTAAGCCATCAGTCTTGAATGAACTAAACCTGGTAAGAGCTAGAACAACTTCTTAAGAGATCCAACAAGCACCATCATCACATGAAAATAGCTACTATTTTTCCTGTTATTAGGCTGGTGTTCTGTCACGACACAGTACCAGCGCACCCCGCTATAACAAAGGCAGCTCTGTGAGAGAGCGCCTTCTTCCACTGGGAGGCCTTTTGTTGTGTAAAATAATATGGCGCCACGTGCAAACTTCGAATTGAAACCTCGTTAATTAATCGTTGTTGAATACACTTGAGCAATGTAATTAAGAAAGTCGTCAAAAAACATCTTGATAAACGGATCCACTTGAACCGTGACATTTACGATCATATGCTAAATTGACATGGATGAATTGTAATCTCAGCGCTCTGTCAGTATTTAAATAATGATGTACCAAATAAGCCCCCTTCGAACGATACGTACCCGCATTTCAAGTTACGAACAATCTCTCGCGAGGTTTGTGCCTGCGCACATCAAAACCGCAATAAGAATTATGCTCAGGCAATATCGCCACCGACAACTCGTTACTGTTCAACAGTTACGTTTTAATAATGGAAAGGTTTAATACACAGCAGATCGTAAGCGCTTGTTCCCTTCCTGCGTCTTCTTTCATATGACGGGTTCGATTTTTGGCAAGTGCGATTGGATGAACAATGGACAAGGCCGGCGCCTGTCAGCCCTTCTCGACAGCGTCAGGTCCCTTGCAGTGGCGAGAAGTGTCGTATTCGTAAAGGTACAAAATAAGTTTAGCATTTACTTACTCGTATGTACCTGAGTGAAATGCGTTCGATCGAGGAATATAAAAAGCTGCGTTCGAGAGTTTACCTTTAGTTAACGCACGCCACGACTGTGAAGGAAAGGGGTCGGACGGAGTGGCGGGAAGAGCCGTTCAAGAGAAAAAGCGAAGAGGCGATACCGGAAACGGAAAGAGACAGAGATGGCTAAGGGCCAGTTGTTCGAGCTGGTTAATGCGCTGTAAAACCACTTCATGGTCTCGACCTACAACACGGCTGAGTACATCGTCTGCGGAGCAAGAGGGCTCGTCATGCAATCACGCTGGCCAAACAGATGCCACAGTATTTGCACAATATTGAATTTTTGCTCTTGTTATTTACATGCACAAACGCCCGTTTCAACACATACCTTCGCCTTGCGGGCGGCCAAAGCCAAATGATTTTTTTCGTCTTCACTGAAAAAGCTGACACACGACGGACTCTTTCTACACTCCTGTTGGTGGTGCTGCTGCTGCTGCTGCTGCTGCTGCTGCTGCTGCTGCTGTGGCCAATGACCACTGCCCCCATGATGATGTTGGTGGCTATTATTGAACGGCGCTTGCTGATCATTGTGATGACGATGATAAGGATGATGCTGGGTCTGGTGGAGTTCGTCCGCCGTTCGATCGCTACTTCCAACCGCCATTTCGTTGAGATGGAAGTATTCGTTGTCCGGCGAGACACCGAGACTGTGTTGGTTTGAGTGTTTACGCCGGGTAAAGCAGCAGAGATGGCTGAGACAGTTTTTCATTACACCTCACTTACGAGGACACAAATACCGCACGCACGGCCAGCGGCGCGGCCATGCTCTGAAAATACCCAGCAACCACTCGCTCAGCCACTGCTGCGTCTCACTTCATTTCACCACCCCGTCCCTCTGTACGTCTGTTTGCAACGCACACCACCAGCACAACTGATCCTGCTACAGAAACTGTAGCCTTAGGTTTTTTCTCGGAATCTGTCTCCTAAGCTGCAGCATAGAAAATATTCAGTTGCCGATCAGTCGGTCATCAGCGGATATAGCGGTCATATCTCGCTATAGCCACCACACGTAATACAGTCAAAGTAACAAGCCTTTTGTTGTGGGCTAAGACAGACGTACTCTCTGTTGCTGTTCCACTTAGTGCGAGTAAACTGAACCGTCAACGCTTCGATAAAACCTTTGAATGTCTTCAGTCTGCTAGAACTTCCTCTGGGTTCCGCTTATACTACATCACTTAAAGCGGAGCGCAGCAGAGCAAGCGCACTTCCACGGCTGAGTTCCGAAGGGCTCTCGTCGTCGTCCGTCTGCTCTCGGGCCGGATATGTGTTTGGCAGCAGGGCGGGCGGGCGGGCGGGGGGGGGAGGCGAGAGAGAGGTTGTGTACTAGCATGTCTCCACAGGGCTCAGGCCCTGAAAGCCAGCTTAATGGCACCTCTCAGTACATCAGAGACGAGTGCCACTCACCCGGTTACTCCAGGATTCGTTTAAATAGCACGCGCGCCCGCGCGCTTTTACACATTGTTTAGTTCACCTATCAGTAAACAAATACATTGGAGTTCGTACTAAATATTCATTGCAGAGCGCACAAACCACTACATCTGTTTGTTATTCCAGTTTACCAAGAAGAAATGTTTGAGGATTGTTTCGCACCGGGTTGAAACGTTACTATATTTCACTTGGATGCAATATTATTGCAATCATAGCTTTTGATCGTGTGTTGAAGAAAACTGTTAAAAATGTTTTGGTCTTTGGCAAAAAAAAACTGATAGGACATTGGACGAACTTCGAAGAAAGCTTCGATTTTGATATCCTAGTCGTTTTGCCATGCTAAAGGTCTGATCGAACGTCATTGATGCTTTAAATATAATTTAGGTGGATAAACGTACATTTTATTTCCTCGTTACCTAACCTATCATAAACGCAAATGAAGTCACGATTCGAAAATTATATAAAGCAGGGGGCCAGACTGTCGTACGTTAGCTATTTTACCAATTCGTTTCGATATTTAATGGCCTTACAACTCAGATCGCATTTGTCTTATGTACCAAAACGTATTGTATATGGAAGTCGAAATTTCGTTTCCCGGAGAACTTAACTTGTTAAACCGATCAGCGAAAAGTTCCGTCCGCCTTTGTCGATGTTAGGTTTCACCTTTTTGACGCCAATATCGCATCGCTATCTGACAGCTGTATGGCAAATGGTTTCGTGGAACCGACACCCACACTCATAGCAAATGAACGTCTTTTCCGATAATAATATTTATTATTATCATAGTTATTAATAATAACAGTTATTATATTGGCTATTATGTCAAATCAAAGCGGACAACAAGTATGATGTTTCAATCGTATCCATTGGAGATCGAAGCGTGTAACGAATCTTTTCTCATTCTTAACTAAGTTCTGCAACGATTTCCTTGCAACTTCGGATCCCTTGGAAACGCGCGCCAGACACTGTCGGCCTTAGCCGACAATTGACTCTGATTTTCACTTGATCATTCCATAGCTTAAGTTCATAATGTGTTTAAAGAATGGGTGTCAATGAGCGTCGAGCATGACACTAACCGCTCATGGAGTTTATATCAGGGTATGAATTACTTTTCACATGTAAAGAATGAGACCCAGTTAGACAAAGGATATATGGAAACCAGGTGCTGCTCAATAAGTGGTCCCATTTAGAACAAACAAACCATGTATATCAGGTGTGTATGATTTTTGAAATTATGCAACATAAGCCTTATGGCAAAGAAGAACTATCTAAGAAGAAGTATATTTGTCCGTTTCAGTCCTGACCTCATGTGAAAAACCTCAAGGGTCCTATGATAATATTTTAACTGCACGCGGGTAGATGTCGTTTGCCTGGCAAGGACAAGCAGGTGGCATTGTGGAAGGCCTCACTAGAGGAAAATTTCCAACACTTGGTAAAACGTTACACGTACTGCATTTTCCAAGATTCGCTGTGATGATCCTAAAAGTTTCCCAGTTCTAGCTATCATTCTACTGGAATGAATGCTGTTTGACCCCCTTTTGTAACTAAAATTACTGTTGTGAATTAAACTGATGCTTCAGTCAGTATAATAAAAATATAAAATAAAAACATGTTTATACGCAAAATGGGCTGTTCTTAAACTCGAATAAATTTAGTGTATGAGTTGAAATTTGAGTGGAATTCTCGATACCGCTTCATTCGAGACATTCGTAGATGCCACAGCCATAGATTTATCTTGATCACTCGTTTCCACAACACAAAGTTCCTATAGCAAATTACTGCTGTTGTCAACATAGACTGATGGTATGATGTTGAAATAGCGTATCGTGTACTAGCCCGGTTCGCAGCTGATCAAGGCATCTCATAACAAAAACAAGCATGACTGCACAAGAAATTAGCTTTATGTCTGTAATTGGCAAGTTTTGTTTCTGCTTCCCTTTGTGGATCTGAAAATAACCATGTAAAAATACAAAAAAAAATTTCATTGTTGACAGTCGGGTTGTCGATATGTGACACAGTATTGCTTTACTGCGTAATACAGCATTATAATTTATAAGGAGTTTCGATCGAACCGCTCACGTATGTGTCCGTATGCGTCTAGAACCGCCTGGACTAGTTCTACCTTGAAAGCGTGCCCGAACGAAACCTTTCTCAACGGCTGCTGAGACCACACGTGTGAACACACGACGCTAGCCTTTGTACTTCGGCAACCTCCGCAACTTATTATAGGCCCACGAACGAGTACGTGTCTCAGAACAGTGAGTTTTAAATCAGACGAGGTTTTGCCCGTTATGTTCGACTGAAGTCGGCCACTTCAGGACCCCCCATCCCCCATCCCCCTAAAAAATGGGCACCGACACCGATTTTTTTTTATTCCACATGAATGCCCCGGATCTGGCTGCTGTTAGCGCTGGAATCCTTAGCTTAGAAGCAGGCCGGCACACCACAGCAAGCACAGACGGTTAACCTACAACGCGCGCTGGTTGACTTTCGTAACTGTTTCGCTTCAGCTGTATCTCGGTGTAGTCGTGTGCGAGCTATGGAAGTGCCGTGAAGTCACGCAGCGACGATCGTCAGACAGTCGACGAATTTGTCACACAGGCGCGATTTTCTAATATCTGCTTGGAATGCCTTAAACTCTAACAGCAAGCTTGACGCGGTCCCGCAAAAATGGTTATTCCTGAATGAGCACGTATAGGTCTTCATCAACCCTTTAGACCCTTGCGCAGTATTCTTCCACATGAAGTGGTGTATTCCATGCAAACCAGTCGAATAGAAGAAAAGATCCGAACTCAAACTACGCCTGGCTTACCGCAGCGGATTATAATTAATATTAAACTGGACTTCGCAGAATTATATAAACAACGTCACATAGACGCTCATGCGATCAGCCGTAGGCACACGCTTCTCCAAGTCCCGAGTTTGTCCGTCTATCTTAAATTGAACTAGTTCCCCACTTCGGACGGTGCACTGGCACCGACACAGATACCATTTATTTGCTCTATAGCTTGTTCTTATGTATAATAATAATAACAACGGAAAAGCTTTGCTTGAAATATATTATTGGCACGCCTCTTCTAACGTGTGTATAGCTCTTAGCCAACGACCTGTAGTTAGTTGCCTTACTATGGTAAGATTATCCAGTCTCTCTACTAGCTCATTTGTGTTAATTACGTAAGATTGAGTTTTCTATTATAAGAAATGCTTCACTCCAAGGGAGGTTTTTCGTCAGGAAGAAGGACGTTCACAGGCGTCGAACTGGACTAAATCAAGAAAGCAAAATAGGGCGTACTGGCTAAATCTGATTGACGGCGAACGGTGATTTTTGTCGTGTCTGTTACTCTAGTTAGGCGTTGGATGCCAGGACAATACTAGCTCTCGGTTCATTATCGCACGTATGAAAAACGGTCGTTGAAGGTTGGCATTTCCCGTCATAGCGACTATTTGATACAGCCAAAGAGTAAGAGAAATAAAATAATAAACTATTTTCAGATAGAAAAACGCTTATCTTTATTTGATAGTGTTAAACGTAAGGCTAAATGAAACGTTACACAACATGAGTGATTAGTCGCTGGAGCCAAAGCGTGTTCAAATGAATTATGGATCTAGTAAAGGAGCTGAAGAGAGAAATCGGTATTACTTCAAATGCAGTTATATGAAAGGCGTGTATTTGAATGATATACTGGTCTAGATTTTTATCTTGGTACGAAGTGTATGATGAAGAATGATGGTGAGAACATGGCTGAACGTACCTGAATGATCAATAAAATCAGAGTTAATCTGTTTAGGCAATGTCGCAAAAAGACGCATGCAGTAGCAAAAATCCCTAAACATATTCAAGACGCCGAAATCAAAATTCCTTTATTCAAACAATTGCCGAAGTTGTCAGTGCAACGTCTCACTCAGCATTGTTTGCCGTTTCTGCCACTTCACCGTACGAGCTGCTATGACGAACTAGATGATATAATAACATGGCTATTTCTACCCGTTGTTAGTTCGTCGGGGCGAGATGAATGAACAACGCCGGCTTCATCGTCAGTCATTTTACAATTTCATTGCTTTTTGTTTGAGCAAAGCGACAGTTAGTAATAGCTTCTGACTTCACAAGCCCTACGGCAAGCCAATGGAATCAACTCTGTGACATTACGTCCCTATGCCTTAGATAATACTGCACAAGCAAGCTACATAAAAGGCTTCCTATACAAGGGCTCGTTTGGGCCGAAGCAGAGCATTACTTGTAGATTGTCCGCCTGATGTGACACACTGCCTATAGGGAATAGAATATATCCTTTTAGCAAAAAAAAAAATAAGCTAAATTTTCCCACGTTTCATAAATGCATAAAAAAAAAAATCTCATTTGACAACTATTTGAACGTTGTCATTATATAATTAATTACATTCATACTATTAGCTAATATTCTGAAAGTAACGTTCGTATTGAAGATAAAGAATTGCCCGACGCAGATTGGCCAAGCCAGCTACGCGAACAGCTCAGCACAGTGTCACGTAGCCAGTGGGCCTGCCGAGCGGAGACAACCCAGTTGGGCCGGTAAAAAATGATCGTACACTAATGTAAATAGGAATAGTCCTAACTACGCAGCGATCCATACGATGCGATAGTACGTATGAGAAAATTGATGAGCATTTTCATCCATTCTTTTTAAAGTTTTCTGTGCATTTGAATTGCCGTGGTCTGATCTTGTTCTATCGATTACTTACCATAACTGTAGCAGCTTCTCTATGATTATAACGGGCTCGAACACTCCATCTTGATTGAATTTCAGCGACATTTAAGACATACGAACATAGTCAATATCAGCCCGCCGTACAGCTTACCGTGTCATATACGGTAGCAATAGTCCCGCGGGGATTTCGCTTCTTGTGAGAGGATACATAGCTGCTTTGATATTGATTCGATGTCTGCTCTCATTGGTCGGCGTAGATGAATTTTGTTATAGCTAGATAAGTTTATATAATGACAAATATCATATTATGTACATGAAATGCCTTGTATACAAGTGTATAGATAAGGACCGCGTTCAATACTACTTCAAAGTATAGAGTTTGTTTAGAGATTTGTAATGGTGTCACGCTTGAAACGATCTCTTTACCATAAAATGTAACGGCAATAGAAAAAATGGGACATCTTTTCATTTTCCAATATGATGATTCCAACCTGACGGAACTGTCTCCTCTTAAAGATTGCCTAATACGTTATGTATGGTAGCGATCAGTTAGACCTAACTTTTATCGTCGAAGAACTGAGCTGCTACTGCTGCTCCTACTTTTTTTTTGCTGCGGCTAGCCTACTGCCATGTTTTGGTCTGTGGTTGCCTCGTTTAATAAGTTCCCTTTTGATCATGGACGCACAATTTACCGTTGTCATTTGCCTACTAACACTAATAAAACAAAGATCCTTGTTCTATTGTTCTAACACTTGCTTCCGTCAACAACTGAAATATGGAAGCAGTTATAACGAGAACATAACGACAAGCAAAAAAAAAAATGTAAAATATGGGGAAAATAGCTAAATACAAAAATTAAATCATATACCTCAGGCGGGTGGCGGTCTTAGATCAATTTCGAAAAATTGCCATTCGACTATTTCGGTTCGTTAAATAATTATTGTGTTACTATAGCAAATTACTAAACAGCTTAACTATGACGTAAAGTTGTTAGTCGCTCCATAAAAAGCCATTCAAGTGATTTCTTTCAAAGAGGTTTCAAGTAATAAATGGCGCAAGAGCTATGCAATGTGGGTCGACGGTTGAACTTGGTTCTACTATAACTACTACCCGCCGCTAATTCCCGGTTCCTCTTTTACGCCTCGAGCGAACCTAAACAATTTGTTATTAGTACTACAGATCGGTAGGAAAAGGATCGCGTGTGCTACGGGATCAACGGGCTGGGTCAGCTCGATCGGGTTTCCCACCGCAATAACCAAGCTATGTCCACGACGAAGAGAGTTAGAGATCCCCAGTTGTACACTCGAACCCGACATGTTAGCATAATTTTCTCTTCTTAACATCTATAGAGTCGATGTTTCAATTGCCGGCTTTTTTGCGTTTGAGGAAGATTCTGGCCAGTTTGTCTGCGCCATATTAGCACTCTCGAGATGTGCATACGTAGTCCAGAAAGGTTCTCAGCCCTTTTGTCATAGTAATTTCTATTTCTACATTAGAGAGGGTCATTCCGGTATGTTCCAGCACCTTGCACTGCTTTAAGGTATGACACGCATCGTCTTTTATGCGACTATCTTTTTTATGCGAGTACCATTCCTATTTGATGCAGGTAATATTGAAACTGTTCTTGCCCTGTGAGCACTTACGTAAGGAAGTGTTATTGCCCGCCCACCGGCTTCTCCAGCCGGTCCTAAATGGTGGGGGTGATGCCCCTGACAGCTGTGCCGGGGGCGTATAGGCAAATGGCAATCCATTTCTTTTGCCATTCGTGCCGCAAATGTTCCCTTGCGTCCGCTGAGTCCGTCTAGTTCAGAGGATTTTAATTTTCAAATCCCACGGGATGGCTTCTGCTAATACGACGGCTGCTTGTGCGCTGACAGTTCGGCATACCAAAGACGCTCTTCGGGCTAGAACGCGTCAGGTACTTTGAAGGCGCTTCCTGTTGAGGTTTTAGATCGTGTCCGGATTTCACCCCCCTTGGTGCTCCAAACAGGACAACTGGTTCCACCACTACTATCAAAAGCCTTTCCTTTTTTCACCTGAAATAAGAGACTTTTGCTATTATCTTCGCTAGGTCAGCCAATACTTTCACAGCTTTAGCTACCGTAGTCTTAATATACTTTGCGTCCCCTATGACCAGGGCTAGCGATCTTCGAGTACGTGCCACTGCGACCAATCTTTGGTCTTTCGCGTTCGATATCGATGATTACGTCGGGACGTAGCTTCTTGCATATTAGAAACACTGCCTCTAATTTTGGCGCTAATCTATGATCACAGCGGCATTTGGTTTCTGCAACTCGTCAATTTCTTCGCCTTCTGTGTCTGTACTTTTACCACAAGCTTGTCCGCGTACGCGATTAGGTACGTTTCTGTTAAAAAGTCCGGTAGTTGCAGCACTCCATGGTACGCTAGATTCTAAAGCAAGCGTCCCAGGTTGAACCCCTCCAAGACACTAACGGTACTGGCAAACAGAGTGCCTTAATTTGTGATTTTCGAACTGCTCAGTTAGCTTGGAACCATATACTGGAAAACATTACGTCTTCTCAGACGACCTAGAACAGTCTTTCAGATCAGACCGCTGAAGGCGTCTTTAAAAGTAAAAACAACCGCCGGGAAAACTCGGATAGGTTTGTTGATTGCAGGTTTGGAAGTTCCTTTTATCGCTGATTATATTGACTGATGTGTCGCAAAGCCATGTTGGCTATCTGAAAGCAGACTATTCCCGTCGGCAATGTCCTGGAGCTTGGTGTCAAAAATAGCGTCGAAGCCTCTCGCTTGTCACCTTAGTGGACAAAGGGAACAATATAAACCATTGCCCATGTACAAATACTTTACCTTTAAAAATCTGAGAACGCCTCCTTCATCGTTATCATAGCTACTACTCATTAGTGTTTTTATTAATAATATTAGCGGAGGCTCCATCTGGCCCTGATGTTTTTCTATCGCATATTAATTTATATGCGTCCCGCGGCTTACTTCCATCTGCCCCCTTGTAGAGTAAGAAGTCAAACTTCGTAGAAAACGTAGAGTAGTTGATTTGTTCTTCTTGCATGCAAGAAATCAAATGCACCGTGTCCTTTTTCATGCCGTTTGGGCTAAACATCATTATATATATATAGACATGTTCCAATGAGTGAAGGAGACGACTACTGGTGATTTGAGAAACAGCGGCGGATGCCCAATTACGTATTGTGTGGCCAATGACATACGTGACACTGAGACACGGCTCTGTACTCAGATCTAGCGTTCGTAGAAGGTCCTTTTTGCGCTCTAAATGCGGTTAGGTGAGGTGATGAGGATTTTTTCGAACTTGCAATTACCTTGAAGCTATACGAGCTTATTCAAACAAATGTTGTCAATTCAGAGACGTTCACTGGTCTAATTCTGATTTTATTAGACCAAGATTGATAATGCGGCAGGCATGCACATAGGTATACGCTACAGCCATTGTTATAACTCATACTAATCCACACTGATTATGTGAGAACTATTTCGGAATGCTTTTGTGAGAAACGTTGTAGCAATAGAGGCACTTTCACAATCGTAGTGCGTTATGATATGAGCCTACTAAGCATCCGGTTGTTCGTGCTTGGCTCCAATTTCGTTTTGATCAATGACTGCTACACTCGGCAACGGTATATGGGTAGGCGAGTAGAACTTAAACTTTTACATAAAGCTTTGCATAATTTTTTTTGCATGTGTCTTGTATGAGACTTATTGATGACTACTTGGTCTAAGTTCGATGAGACAAAGCCTTTAATAGCAATCGAAAACTGTGAACATCAACGCTTTCTAAATATAATGCTGCATTATATTTAAAGGCATTGGCAATTATTAAACTTGGGTGAGGCATTCTAAAAAAATTAGGCGCCGTACGCGCAGGTGTCCCTATCCATAGGCACGCACAGAAATGCTCGTGGCTATAGGCCGTCGAAATGTATTACATGGATTTCTACGTGTTTCAACGTTTCAAAACGTAATAGATGATTTATTCTATGAAAAATGCTTTCTTACCGTTGTCCAGATGCTTTGTAATCAATTTTTATGTATGATAATTGTAAAAATCCTCTCATTTCTCAATTTCTAGAGTTTTGAGCTAATCTTGTATGAGGAAATATGTCTATCTGATTTTGCGGTTTATTTTCAAAATCGCTTTTCTATAATAAATTGCACGCAGGTCGTTCTTCTAGCAGCTTTGCATTCTGGAGCCAGTTGAAATGTGTCCTTCAATTTACTTAGAATGGCCGCATGACAGTCTCCTATGCGACGCTCAATCAAGCAATTGTTTATGACGAGTCTGACACACACGTAAACTAGAACTAGCGTGACTGTTTCTAACTATGTACTTATGCTGTAATTTTTTATCAGGTATAATTCCCGGTGCAGTTCGTACCGTTTAAATGAATCGGCGAAGACTCTGAATAAAAAAAAGCTGAGGTTCCAAATTAAATTACAACATATGTATTTATTGTCATCTCATTACATAGCACTGTAATTAAGCGTGGCCACTTTAATTGAGAGAGCGCGAGAGCGAGAGAGGGAGGGAGAGAGAGAGGGGGAGAGAGAGAGGGACAGCAATAGAATTATCATTATAATAATTAGTTATCATTTTTATAAATTATTTACAGGTCATCCTTCATTCTTTATGCCGTATAGCATGAGTAGATGCACATTATGCGGCCAACGGTGTCCACTGGTGGCGCTATTTCGGTGCCTTATTGCCACTTAATCAAGCTGCCTTAGCCACGAAATCTATTTCCAGTCGCACTATTGGTTAGCAATTTGGAGGCAATTTTGACCTCAACTTCTACTTTCTCTTTTGTCCTAGCTACATAGCAAATGATATTATTAATAGCATTCTCACAATAATCATCACCATTATCTCCGTCGTTCGCGGGCCGCATAACGGTTGATCGTACTTGCGTTTTGTCTGTGTGGGGCTGATTAAATTCGGGGGCTGTACGTGTTTGTGTAACCATCTTTGCAGTATCGGTCGGGTTGGGCGTTGGTTTCTGTACATTTAACGAATGGCGTTAGTATTACGGTTGGTTATGGATTCGCTAATTTATTAAATTACCATCCTCCTCCTCCCACCCCCTGTTGCTGCCATCCTCCGCCGCCGGCGGCCCAGTCGCCACCAGCTCCGCTTCCGTGGCCACCTCCTCCCTGTTGTTGCCATCCAGCGTTACTTCCGCCCCCGTTTCCATGATGACCTCCGCCGCCGTCGTTTCCGCCCTGATAATTTCCGCTGCCGTTGGTCCCTTCAAGAGCTTTAACGATGATCACCTTAACCGGTGTGCCGGGTCCAAGACCTCCTCCTCCTCCTCCTCCTCCTCCTCCTTGCTTCCATCCTCCTCCGCCTCCCTGCTTCCAACTACCTTTAGCGCCGTTTCCTCCTCCACTAAAACCATTTGCCGTTCCTCCAGTGCTCCAGCTTCCAGTAGCGCCGCCTCCTTTCGCCCAGCTAGTGCCACCGCCTCCTTTCGCCCAGCTAGTGCCACCGCCTCCTTTCGCCCAGCTAGTGCCGCCGCCGCCTCCTTTCGCCCAGCTAGTGCCGCCGCCGCCTCCTTTCGCCCAGCTAGTGCCGCCGCCTCCGGCACTCCAGTCTCCGCCACCGCTTGGCGCCCAACCTCCTCCGTGGTGGCTTCCAGTGTCGTCGCCTGTAGTAATTTGTTTAGTCTTCACGATGAAGATGTGCGATCTACCCTTTCCGCCTTCAACATGGCCGTCTATTTTGAGCCAGGCGGCGATTTTGTCCAATCGGTCGGTTGATTGAGTTGGTACCGCCGCAACAGCCCCGCCCCCATAAACCCATCCCGTCCCGCCCGATGTCGAGTGCAGTCGTCATGCGAAATGCACGGCCAAATAGCCATTCATTCAGGCCGTACGATTAGGTCAGGTTAGTAAGCGGAGCAGTGGTAGTTCGATGAAGGTTGGATTGTTTGTCAATTGGGGTATTCGTTTATTTTGTTGGTTAGACGAAATCACCAGTCAGAACATACCACATTCGCATGACATTATGAAACAGTCATAAACAAATGACAAAAGCGGATTAATATCATGCCTGTATGTATGTAGATTTTTCAAGTGGCTACTTAGTAGAATCTACAAAGGTTATGTCTTCCGTTACATGATCGGCTATAGCGATAAAGTAGAGCGAACTACTTTAATACCATTTGTCGCTTTTGGTCCTGACAAAGGGGTAAGGTCAGATTTTTACCTTAACGGCATAGTAGTTGGTTAATGGCGTAGACATTATTATTATGGTACTATATATTAGTGCTGCTCGGTACACAATTTCTAAATAAATTAGTACGTAAATGCAGAACAGACGTATCGGTGAATCTCCCTTGATAATGTAATTAAAAATTCATAAATATGCAATTAAGGTAAATGGTATTATAAAAGCTTAGATTTCAGTAATGTAATGGAAAATTCCTCGCGACTCAAGTATCTGGTCAGAGAATACTCCGTGCATCACATATATAGTCATATGGTGCCACGGGAAAAATTCAATCTCCTTATTTACCCAAACCTTTTAATCTGTGTGTAGATGCACCCTCTAGCGGATTCCACTACGGATTTTACGGAATATATATCAGGCTTTAGAAATTTAAAACAGTAATAGCTAATCCAGTACTGAAGTTATCAAGCATGACAATGCAATGGTCCAGAAATTCTAACTTGAGAGCATTTACCACACTTGAGATACTAAACCCATTTGTTTCGTTCTTGATTTCGAAATTTTTAATCACAGTATATTGTCACGTTACCACTTTGAGCTAGAGGTTACAGAAAATCCCGTTGGTGCGGTAGAGACTAGTCATATATGGTATTACTAAATGTGCATGCCCAGTCAGGACAGGGCACACACAAAGTAAACATTTTGCATGCTTGATTTGTATTATAATCAAGTGCTTATTCGTATGCCTACCGCAGGGTCTATTTAAATTCGTCATGTCACTCATGCTATAGTATATGACGACCCTTAATTGACTTCACTTATTATAAATTAATTAGTTTCGATGATGGGAAAGGATTCTATTCACCGAACTGCTAAAAGGAGATCTATTGATTATGGTGCTTACTTACGCATGTTGCTATTGTACACTCTATTCATGCTACTGGCTTCTGTCATTCATTTTACCTTTCGCCCATCCGGCGTTGCCAGCTGGAACCGGGGCTGGGCTCGGGGCTGGAGCCGGGGCTGGGGCCCATCCCCCTCCTCCGCCGGTAGCGGCGGCGTCTCCACCAGAGCTCCAACCTAAAATTGCAACAACGCAGAAATAGGTTAAACTCCAAAAACGATTCAATACTCAAACAGGCACAACAGATAACGCAATCTTTCCTTCTCGTTAATGCATCCAATCTTAAAACGTCACGTTTTTAGTTTGAAGCAAATTTAAATTTTGAGTACAAAACTTACTGCTGCCTCCACCTCCCGAAGGAGGCCAACTGCCGCCCTGGCCTCCACCGTAGCCACCGCCAGCACTGCTGATAGTCCCGGTGCTTACCGCCTTAATAATGTAGACTTTTTTGACTCCACTACTGCCATCAGCGTGGTGTCCATTTCCACCGCCGTTAGCGGCTTTCCATCCCCCCCCCCCGGCCCCTTGGCTTCCCGCCATGCTGGGGGCCCAACCGCCCCCGAGGCCTCCAGTTCCCCCTCCAGCACTCCAACTACCGCCGCCACCTCCATGGCCGCCTCCGAAGTTACCGCCGCAGGCGAGTCCAGCCAGCGATACAACCAGCACCTAAACACAGTAAAAAAAACCGTATAAACAGTAAATTTTACGTTACAAACAGCAAATCAATAACCTGTTTTTGGTCCCAATAGTCGAGCCTTTTACTACTAAAAGAATGCATGATTATCTAAGCTGAATGTACAAAGAAAAGTTCTATACGAGAGTCTACCAGAATTACTCAGAATAACTGACCATCATTCATCACAATTTTTAATGATAGACAGCTTCATGCCGACGTTTTCGGTATACAAAGACAAATCGTCTTTGTATAAGCTCAGTTATTTCAAACGTCAATCTTTTTTTTTCTTTTTTGTCTACAAAATAAATAGTTCAACGTTTAAGGTGAGAATATTTGTTTCGAGTCAACTTATTTAAGAGTATTCAGCGTCCGTTTAAGGAAAATGGAAGAGGTCAAGGACGAGGCGGTTTTCAACTCTGTTCGAGGTGTCTAATAATGAAGTCAGTAGGGATCTCAGTAGAAGATCTTTTTAGTACCGAGGTAACTTTACATAGAGCTTCACTTGCACTTTTCCTCCACTTGTACACGTTTATGTATCCGAGTAGGGAACGTCACATCTGAGAGGAGATAAGTTACCAGATTTGCGTAAATCACAAAAGAAGCAATTAATGACAGACAACTTATCAGCTTGCGCGAAGTGACACGGACTTGTAGCAACCACCTATCACAAGCTTTAATGTTCAGTGAACATCTAATTGACGCCTAAATTGAATCACACAGTATGTTTTAGGTATGTATGTATCCTTCGCGGAACAGACGTCGAGCACATTTTTACTGATCGTCCCTATTGCAAATAACTATTGGTAGAAAGCTACTGCTTTGCCCCGTAAGAATCTTCATGCTAATTCCTTTCACTCACCAGGGCTCTCATGTCTCAGAGGCTTGCTGTTATTTACTCAGTCAAGTAAATGATCAAGTGTTCTTAACGCTTCATTCGTTTGGCGTTGGACATGTTTCAGTGCGCGAGCCTTTTTAAATCCCGCAAGTGGGCCAGGCGGCGATGAGCTGCTGAAGGCGATTGCTGAACCGGGGTGAGGGAAACGGCCACAAGCTCACCGCCGTAGGGTCACAGGGGCAAACGGGCTCTCACGGATTGCTCGCATCGGTAAACATCATCACCACCATCCACTACGTCGCACTGCAACAACACTACGCTACCGCCGAAGATGCCGCTATCGCTGTTAACAAGCAGACGGCCATTGACAAAGAACAGAGGCCTATCAGCAGCCGCAATATTGGTCGCAGCGATCGTAGCAGGCAACTAGGTTGATAAAGGGCATCGGAGCCGAAGACGGGAAATTTGAATGTATCCTGCACGCCTCCACACCGGAGTACTTCAGTATTCTCGAATCGTGAAGCGACACTCTATCGTTGGCTTTAAGACATACGCAAGCAAACTGGTTGCCATCAGCAACAGCTGCAGGTCGAGAAGCAGGCGGCATCGGTGTTAGCAGCGGCCAAGATATTTACCATTGTACAATTACTGGTCCTCTGCTTCAGACGTGGCACCTAATGGAAGAACTGCTGCTGTGCTTCGTGCAATTCCCACGGCAGCAGTCACAGTGAGCACAATAACCGCGGTACTCAGCGAACAACCTATTAAAAAGAGGAAAATTATTATGACCATCATCGTCAATATCGGCAGCGACAACGTGATAGAATAGTCAATAATAACAATGTGAGCAACGCCTCCTGTTAACAAAGGAACAGCAACGAGCTCCTTAATAGACATCAAACATTAGCAATAAGATCAAAGAAGTATTTCGTAATTAACGCTAGTTTAAGGATTTCTTAAAAAAGACCCGCCTAGGAGATCGAAAGGAAAAATATTAATCCATAAAAAACAATTTTCAGAAAAGAGTAACTCACATTAGTTTACTATTCGAACGAGGCCTACCAGATTTAGGCCATTTAACTATATATTTTTCAGGTTTCGGTATTTATGGGAATCTGGACGTCGATACCTGAAAAATCGAATGCGAGAGATGTAACTTGTAGTTCACCAATTACTCGGTGTGTACGCTTTCAGCGTTGCTCTCTGCCAGCCTTATTCCCATGAAATGTGCCTTGTGAAGTTCATTACTGATATCTTGGATCTACTGACACATTCTCTTCCGCCGAGTGTTCTTAGCCGTTTTTTTTTTTTTATGAAGGTTATTTGCACCATTTGATGCATAGTTGAAGTATGTAAAGAACTTGAGGTGCTAACTAATCACCAAATGACCGAAATAAACTGAAGCGCTTTCCTTCGGCGGTCGCGTTTATACCAATATCTTCTCTAAATAAGCATCTTCGGGGAATCGATCGATTAAAATTCTTTAATATTAGTGTCAAATGGAAAATTTACACTAGCGACTTAGTTTCTACTCACCGATCGTATTTTAGCAAACGGTATACGGTTCTAATAAAGTAATACATTGTTAAGAGCGTTCTCGTGACTTTTTCATTTATTTAGCTTTATATGGTCCGGCTAGCGAAGGCACTGCACGATGCAACGGAAATGAAAAATGGTTGTTTGTTAAAATTCAACAATAGAACATTCAATCGAGCCGGCATGTTAAAGGCCTGGCTAACGCAGATCTGTTCTGAATCATTGTTGTAATAATCATGAGCATGCGATCGGCGCTGTTTCAGCGTTGACAAATAGTTACCGTGGCACACAATCGTTATCACAACGTCCTATAGGCCTACTGGAGAAACCCCGGTCAAAATCGTCCCGATCGCTAGTTTTCCTAATAACGGAGCAAACCCTTAATGTTCTATCGAACAGTCTAATCCGAACACTTGTCAAACTGTGTTTTAAACTTGTGTATTAAAGTGATTGTTCATTAACTACTGTTAAATTCTCGTGACGACGAAGATCGCATCAACTCTTACAAGTTGATTCAACTGAAAATTCTGACGAAAGCTTATTTTTACGTCACGATCGAAGCGATCATACTGAAAGTCATAGTCGCTGCATTATATAAACGTACTCTATAAAAACAGCTACATGTTCTATACATTATTCGAATACATAGCTTGAACCTCTATGGAACGTATGTTTTCAAAGGCTTAAGTAATTTGGTTATTTTCATTGCGCACTCCTGTCATTTCCAAAGCTTATTTGTTATGGCTAGTTTATCGTTACCTTGTTCATAGAGGTATAGTGGCTCATTTGCCTGCCTGCCTGCCTGCCTACCTACCTACCTATTTACCTACCTTTCTCTCTCTCTCTCTCTCTCTCTCTCTCTATATATATATATATATATATATATATATATATATATATATATATATATATGTATGTATATCTCGATACGTGGCTTCGAGGCTCAATTGATCTACTATGCTTTTATCCGCATAACACGTGCCTCTTTCCATCCATTGGTTAACCTTCAAATGAATACTAATTGTATTTTATTTAATTGCTTAATTTAATTAATAATTCATTGTCGTATGACCAATACGGAAGCATTCAATGTTCACAATGAGCCTACGGAAAGAGTTTTACGGCTGTAATGTTGTTTCTCGTCGCAGAAGGACTTCTTTAGGCCATGATATCAATTTTAATCTTGTTGGAGTTCTCTGATATGGCACATATTTCAGCATCTAACACATCAGCAGATTTCTCTTCCAAAAACGTCATCGTCTTGAATATAACCGAGCACTTAACTTTGACCACGTTGATAAGCTATTCATTCCGTTAGCAATAGCTCAATAAGCTTCAACCACTACCATCGTTTATGTAAATATACGCTATACGCTTTGTATTTTACCATTGTCACTGCAAAAAAAAAAACTCGTTTTTTCAATTCTAAGAGAATTCGACTGTGTGCGCGTTCCATGGTCAAGTTGCTATGGGCAAACATGAAAATTAGTGGTTTCACCTATTATTGTTGTTATCGCTCGCTATCGGAATTAATTCAGAGCAGAACAAAGGGTAATAGCGCTTCTTTTTTTTGTCTTACTAGTCGTCTTTACTCCTACTGTCCGTAACTAATTTCTGTAGTCTGAAGTCTCGTGGCAAAGTGCATTTTGTCTTACAGCCACGCATCCGTCGCTAGCGATACACGTTCAACAGCTGCCGGCATTACTCTAAAAAGGCCAAATAGCTAGTTATCAAGAACAACAAAAGCAAAAAGCATTTGGCCTTCCGTGTACACTGTATGAACCAAGCGGCCAGCCTGTTTGTCAGTTAGAAAGCTTTCGGCCGTTGCCTCTTCCACCTGATTATCTGGATTAAGCTTATCGGCTTGGCCGAACCCGCGGTGCCGATTGTGGCCCTGTAAGGTCGTAGCTATGCTGATTGGCTGTGATTGAACTCTGACCTATTCTATTCCGGTACTGCTCGTAAACCAGGTAGCACTAGCCATCAATTCCGCAAGTTGCCACTTGATATGTAAAGTGATATACAGAGGGACTTGTTTTTTGGAAAGTAGGAACCGGAAATCAGAGACAGGAAAACGATCCGATTGAAAAGGTCATCACAGCCGGATCTTTTTTTATCAGCAGCTATTGCCTGATATTTGTAAGCCAGATTTTCTAATATTCTATTTCTGAATATTTCAATCACTTTTCAACCTTAGCAAGCTTTGGCTACAGTGCGAACGCCAATATAATATCTTTCTTGACAAAACGAAGAAAGAAAGAAAGTTAGATGGATTGCCATCATCTAAAACTGCACACACGTTTACTTACTTTCATTGCAAACGTCTGCGTCTGGTTTGCGAGCTGAACTTTCAGTTACAACAATTACCAGAAAAATCGCCGACCGTTTAAGCTAGCCTAACCTAAATGATAATGACATATTGAATGAATGCTTGATCGCAAAAATATGAGGGTTTCTGATTCCGTTAACGTAGTTTACTTTGAAAAAGAAATAAACAGATAAAAAACAAAAAAGAAAAAACTTTACTTGTTTTAATTTGAAAAACCTTTATCTCTTCAATATTTTCACTGGATTAAAGTTTGTTTACCTTTAAAAGGGTGTTACGCTCGGTTTTGTACTTGCGAGTCACAAGTTGGGCTTTTTCTAATACAGATTTAATGTGAGCGATGTGTTGAGCTTTCAATTAGGCAATTCTCATCTGTTGTGGATACGCGTAATATTGTTAAAATTTTTAATTGTAAATAAAATGTTACGTAGTTTACCAATCTGATTATAAACCTAGACCAATATTTCAAAGGTGAATAAATGTAACGCATACTATGTTACCTCTTGATGTTGTATTGCAGTCGGAATATATGTGGATAGCAGCTAATTTATTTGATCTTGAACCTCGGCAAGGACATACGTCCCACTGTGAGATTTGGACCGATAAGGTACGTTGTTGTTATTAGTTAGGTCAATTTGGCCTTGCAGAAAACACGCACCTACTTGGGGATAAGCGAACACTTTTTAGCACGGGCCTTATGGTAGACGAAAGATGTAAGGAATCACACAGAACGAACTCATTCGTAAGAGTTCGCAGCGCAGTGCACAGCATACACGATGTTGTGTCTGGTAATAAATCATACGCGAGCCAAACAAGGGATCCCCTGTATCCACTGCTAAGGCGCCTGTGAGTGGCATTACACAGTGTTATGTCCAAGGACGCGTGGCGCAGACAAAGACAGTTGGAGAGCTCCGCTCTGTGGATTTTACTTTACTCCGATTCCCATTTGATGATATTCGAAATACCTTTAATTATTTACATTTCTTATGTACAAAATACTTGTCAAAGGCGTAAGTAAATAATGACTATTTAAGCGACACGACTATCTAGTAGTGTCCTTGTTTCCCTAATAATTACTTCCAGAGTGGTGCGCAAAGACTCTGGCTCAGCAAGCTAACATCTCTCTCATCATCAAATCGTCGTTATTGAACAAAGATAAATAATATACATGAGACATCATAATGATATGCATTATTATCTTTGTTGACGAAAACCAGTGGCCAATTACCAACAAATGGCTTTAGTAATGAGCAGAAAGTTAAACAGTTCTCATCGTTGGAAGTGAATATTTCTCCATTAATGACAACCTGCAAACAAACAAACAAGCTCTGCCGTAAATCCTTGTCGATGCGAAGGTAAAAACTAACAATGGTGCATTCAGAGCTCCAATTATATCCCTTTGGCCTTTTAGATAAAGCAACTATTCTGCAAAGGCCAAATCGTTCTTTGGACTTCGCTCGTTATTTGCCTCTTAGCGAGTTATCTGCGCAACATCAGCAGGCGTTACAATTAGCCTTCAAGGCACAACAGAGGAACCCAGATTTCAAAACAAAAGCATGAATAGAATAAAGTGCTTATGGCAGCTTACGGATTTTCTTTCAGTGATCGGAAGGGGGAGATTGCTACAGTGTGACACATAGATTACCGTCTGTATAACACAATAACCGTTTCTGAGCTCTGTTAAACCTCCGATGGCATGGTTAATAGGCGCATTGGCTAATGATTTCGTTTTCCTGCAATCCAAGCATGTTACTTCCGGTCAAACTATATTCTTGGGAACGAGAACCCGTTGGCGCTATATGAACTGAGGGTCTTTGCATCCGTTCCTGTCGTATGATTGCTTCCTCAGATTTAAAATAAACAAACCCATCGTTACAATCGGTAACTACGAAATATATATACTTCAAGTTTAGAGGCTCGACAGCGCACGTGTTCTTACAGGACTCGAACAGGACTACAAAGTTACTTGAGTATCATACCAGTGCCCTCATCGTTTCTTTGAAGATATTCGTCAATCTGCCGAAAAGTAAACATGTACTCTTTGCTAGGGCAGTGTAACACAAGATAAAACTACTAACAGTGCATGCAGTCCGTGTAATCTAATCTGCATATAGCAACGTTCTGAATTGAATCTAAAATCCGTGACAGATTCACTCTGTTTAAGCTTAAAGCTTAAATTGAGATTGTATTATTTCAATTGTATGGTATCAAATCTATTTACAGACTAATAATTTCTCCTATAATTCAAGCCATTGTCTTTACAGTTTGTCCTAAGGATTAAAGCACTTCAGACACGGATGGAAAAATATGCATTTCCAGCTCTATAAAAAAAAAAAAAAAAAAAAAGAAAAAAAAACTTGAAGGAGTCTAATTAATATTTTTAGTCGCAAAAATGATCGGCATCAGTGAACTAGCCATTTGGCCATGATCTAACAGATCTTTCTTTAATCTTTTAGAATAACCAGCTTCTACGGAGTGCAACGCGGGAGGGGGGAGGCCTCGACTGCTTCTTGGTAATATTAGAAAAAATATAAATAGGGAAACATATTTGAATTGGTTTTGACTGCAAAACGTCTATTTTGCTGAATCGGTATTGATAGATTTGTGTGTTAATTTGTAACTAAGAAAAAATACTTCAAGTAAGTATTATCGAGAAGCGTAGCACAAAGAAAGCTCACTTGTCCTTCGACTGAAAAATTACCAAACGTATAAAAAATCGCCTTGCAGCCTACTGTCAGATGTCAAAATGACGGCACCCGAACGGCATGCTAAAATTAGTAACTTAGTAGTAATAGTAATTCGTTGCTATTTGGACTGTGTCTGTGGCCCTTTTTCCTGCTAAGTGACCACTAAACTGCGTTCACTTCCTTAAAGACAGACGGACAATTAGATCTGAGTGCCAATATCCAAGGGTATAACATACGTATATCTATTTATATTCTTCAGCAACTGAATATCTGGGAGCCGATAGATAGGTTTATACTATACTTTTGCTGTGCAGTTTGACAAATACCGAGAAATAACAAAGCTCTACTTAGACTCTTGAGAAGCGTGGCTACACCCTTCGATAACTGGCAATGCTTAATATATTCTTTCATACCCCTAATGGCAACAGCTATGGTCTCAGGTGTTTTCTTTACAAATAACTATTTACTTTGGATTGGTCGGTAGGTTAATACTTAATTATCCTAGTTAATTAATATTTTGTGGAACGTTTTGTCCAAAGATTGTATTGTGTCGCATTTCTGGTCTAATACATTAGACAGAAACACGTTACCGCAGTTCACGAATCAACTGTATACGATAAATGACGAAACCACTGAAAATTTTAGTAAGAATAAAGTAAAAAGGATGACTTCTGTTTTTCGTGAGCATCTTAAACCTCGATGAATTCGAATCGGATCTTCAGTTCCCTGGGGTACTCAACCCGATTTCTCTAGAAAAATGATCAACTATCTACAGAATCGCGTCGAAAATCTGTTTGATATGAATTTTCGAGAGCCGCGATCCGCTACCGAAGAAAGCGAGTGTCTGTTGGAGTTGCCTTTATTCTTTCGTAATTATTTTTTGGTAATTCCAGCAGCTGCCTTCTGTGAAAGGGATTCCATCTCCCCTTGCTTAGAAAGCCTTTGCTTTCGAGATATCCCTGCTACTGTCAACACATTAGTTATGGGTATGCTTCAAACACATATGCTTTTGTAGATAACAAAGCTGATATTCACGATTCTTTCTTTTGTGATACAAGCAGCGAAGGGAATTAATCGTATTCGCTATAGATCCACAGATAGACATTAAAAATAACCCAATCAGTTTTTTGTGCAAAATGACCATGTAATGTAAGTATATATGTATAGATTGTTACCCCTTTCATTAGCTTTGACTTGCTGGAGTGTACAGAAAGTGATTTGCAAGCAACAATTTAGCTTACTATAAATACATATAACAACAGTATAATAACAGCTAGTAAAAAAACTGGAATTACTATTGGTGGTGGCTGCGCAGAAATGTCGCGATGGCCGTAGCATCAACAAAAGCCGGCGCTGCTTTTACCAAAGAAACAAGAATTTTTTGTTCGTCCGTCTATCTGTCTGTTTCTTGTTTGCTGTAGACTCTCAGACCGGTCGTTTATGCCAAGGAATTCTTGAACGACGACGTCCACCTTCATTTTGAATTCGAACTACAACCCCGGGAGACAAAATATATTTTCCGCCTGAAAGAATCACAATTTTCTTACTTATTATAATATTGATGTTTATCGCTTCATGCAAATAGCTCAACACTTAGCTGCTGTCAGTGCCAACGACTTACACTAGTAATAATCATAAGAGGGTGAATACTACACGAATCGTCACTAGAACCGAACATGTAGGTTGCTATTGGCTAGATAAAAGGGGATGTGAGAAAGTAATGCTAGTAGACACCTGTGCTGCCAAAAATTCGAAAGCGTCTATGGCAACCTAATGTTTTGACCTAGCTACCCTTTAGCAAATATTATATTCACTAACCAGGATACCGTGGAATGCTACTGCAGTCGGACATAGACAATAGGAGACTACTACCGTCGGCAGTCCTAAAACACACGATACGCAAATAAGCTGCTTTTTGCTTGACTCCGAAATGAGTGTAGAAACCGCTTTAGGCCTCAGGAGCAAAAATGAATTATTCACCGTTGAGCGGCAGTCGTGCGGCTTAAATAATCATCTGTGCATTCTCCGCCTGTCGGCTTACATAGCGACTGCTCTTTCAGTACGAAGCTACGATTATGTCCACGTTTCATACTACAGCAAGCTAGTGTATTATTGTTTGTTTGCCTGTGCAAGCGGTAGAAATAGGTGGATGGCAGGTAGAGAAAGAATTTGACCTATTCAGCTTCATCGCCCTGACCATTTCTCTACCGGATCGTTCCCTGCGCTCCAAATACTAGATCTTGATTAGTACCATGCACCATGGTTGCAATGTGACACTTAATTTACGAGTGTCCCGTTCTGACTTTCCGGTACTCTTCTTTGGATACCTATACATAGTTCTATTCGTTTCAAACTTACCTTCGATACAATTAATTCTTTTCTAACAAAACCATTGTCTTTGTTTAACATGTGATCTTTCTCCATGTAATTTCACTCTAAAAGTTATTACCCGTTCAACAATATCTAAAGCTGTTTGATGGCCCCTTCGGGACACTGCGGCTGCTTACGCATTAATCTTGGACTACTTTCGCAGTGAATTCATCAACTTTTCCCAGAATATGTCAGCCGCTACGAGTATTTTTCACATCGAAATATTGTACTGATACTTCCTCCGATCGACCATAAACAACACACCTTTCGATAAGTCTAGGCAGCATTTGTGCCTTTATCGTGGTGATTTTTAACAGAGATCTGATCTTCAATAGCTCCATCTCAAGTCCGAACAAACACATTTACCACAGCGAGTCGAAGCGTGGCAACGCAACTTGTGTAAACGATGAATGTATATGTATATAAACGATATATATATATATATATATAAATACATATATATATTTTTCATCACATTTGAAAAAAAATACCTACCATTATAGTTTGTATGTATTCACAGGCAAAAAAGCATTATTTATTCCATGAGCATTTACAAACACACCGCTGCAATGTGACAGGTTCGTCGGATATGTTTGTAGATATAAATTGAATATATAGAGGAACATTCGGTTACGACGCTTGCCAAAGTAACTTCTCGATCTTGAACCAATTATGAGTATGGGAACAATTTGACGCTGGCCGCCGCAGCCGCTGTAAGGCCCCAATGCACCATGCAAGCGTAATGTGAAAACTGTGTAGTCGATTGTTGTAGAACTAGATCGTTTCGGTTTGGCGGAGTAATATTTTGGACTCTGGAGGATACTGAAATCTCTAAATGCCTTGTCCGTAACTGCATAAATGAAATCGGAATAACCGATGTGGTTGGTAATAGTTATATTTATTTATGTCAGAGATAAATGTCTGCGGACACTTTTCACTCTAGTTGCTTGAACGTATTGTGGCTTCGGTCATCGTAATGCGTTCAGTACTCAACTGATAGATACCCGCGTTCGCACCCCTTCGACATCATCGTGGGCATTTGTCATTTAAGCGTTCTACATAGATGTTTATGTGCAGGGCGGTAGTGGATATATTTGACCTACAGCTGAAGAGCCGACTGAGCGGAATCGGCATTTTGCTGTCGGTGTCTGAGAACATATGCATGCGAGAGGAGATGCCCAACGATGTTGGGTGCATGGGCAAGGAGGAAGATCACCGATGTGACTCTAAACTAACATAACTTACTTTGAAAAGGGTATGATAATGATGGCTTTTAAGCTATATATCACACAGATACACATCTTGGACAATATGAGTTGTGCGTTTTGAAAGCTGAAATTTGCAAATAGAAGTGTCAAAATTATTCGAATACCTCTATTCCGACCCAAAATGAATGGCGCTTCGTCCAAAATTGCGCTACATGTTATGACTTCATTGCAATAAAAAAACAAATTCTGCCGAGGCCCATAAAAAAGTTTGCCCTGTTTATGGTCAAGATGCGTTATCGGAAGAAATAGCCTGAGGATGGTTCTGTCGCTTTTGCTCGGTGTCAAAGACGCTTTTCGTAGTGGTCGACTAATTATGGAAAAAAGTTGAAACAGAACATAAACTTATCATTAATTTTGAATGAAACCGACACATCGGCAGCCCTAATGTCGTCCAGATCCACCGCCAAACAGCTTTAGACTATTTAACCAGCTGGCTACCAAAAAAAGCTTGATATTTGGGTACTGCACAAACTGACGCAAAATCCTAGTATTTCCATCAGCAAAATTCTACGGGAGCGTAACAAAATCCAACAATTTATGACGCAGTTGGTCACGGGTGATGAAAAGTTGATCACATATGGTAACACTGTGCAAATAAAAAAATTTAAAAATCTGCTCCACGATCTGTGACAAAGAAGGTGACGCTATGTGTTCGGAGGCATTGGAAAGGAATCGCGCATTATAAGTTCCGACCCTGTGAGAAAACGATTCAGACCTATATTGTTGACAGCTGATAGGATTACAAGAAGCCATTGAAAAGAATAGGCCGGAACTACTAAAAGACGTCGCCTTCCACCATGACAATGCTAGACCACATATACCCTTAGTTACGCTGAAAAAATCGAGAGAACTTGAATGGGAAATTTTAATGCACATGTCGTGTAGCTCGGATCTTGCGCAATCAGACTATTGTCTGTTTCCATCTCTGCAGAATTTCTTGATAGTGTTGATTTAGTTTGAATGAAAGCATGCAAAAATAACCTGTCATGATTTGTCGCCCACAAACCACAGAAGTTCTACGGCCTACGATGCTGCCAGAAAAAGGTAATTGGCGAAGATGGCACATATTTAGTTTACTAATGCTATTTTGAAATGCAAAAAATATTCGCCTTAATCTTGGCCTGAAAACGATCGGTACTTTCTCAACAAACCAATATTATGTGGTGAGCTTTTTCAAGGTTGTCCTTAATGTTCTGTTCACTAGTTTTTATCATAATTGCTTTCGACGTTCATGTAGACCACACACATACAATCAGAATATCTATTTCAGTTAACATGCGGCAAGGTCCAAAGGTCACTGAGCAATTTGAAAGAATCTCTTGCCGGTTGGAAAGTCATCATTTTACATCTATTAAAATAGTGAAAGATACGCAAATAATTACCGTAATCAACGGATACAACAGGGACACCTTAAAATCGCTTATAGATGTTACACCGAATACTCTAATATTATTCAATAGAAGTTGAATGACCACAGCAGTTATTGTCGAAGCCATTGCTTTTCAGGCGCACCCTAGCAATGCAATATTGTAACACCATAGTATAAGAACTATAGGGATACTATAAGTAGCGTAAAAATAATGCACATTGGTCATAAGACTAGACTGTCTTTGTATTGGCTTATCGCTTATCACAACATGAGCGAAAGCACCATTCATCTTTATTATTTGTCGCCGTCAGCAGCTGACGTCTTCCTGCGTGAGAATGGAATACTAATTTCTAAATGTGGTAACAGCAGTGGCACTTGCTTGTCGCAAGGCCACGACCTGGAGCATTCAGCATTAAACGGTTACATCCGTTAGCTACAACAACATCACCAGAAGTAATTACTGGTAGCACACAGCCGTAAGATTCTGCAAGGCGAAGATCATTACATGTGAGCTGGCAGCCCGTTAAAAAGCTCGGGCACATCGAGCTAAGTGCTACGCAAGTGCCGACGAGCTATCAAGGGCCACAAGGCCACCGACGATTAGTTTAATAGTCATAGATAGGACCCGACCACCTAAGATACATGTCACCTAAGCTGGCCTAGTGATTAAAGAGAAGATTCAGAACGTGGGCACACTGGAGCGGCCATGACTATACTTACATATGGGCATGGGCGACCTCAGATTTTGATTATACCGGAAACGAATTGAGCGATAATTTATCTTGCCTCTTGCAAACAAACTGCATGATTTCGTAAGCATTTAATCCGCTTCTTTTGTAATGGGGAGAGTAAAAGGCTAGAAGACTATTAGGTTATTAAAGCGTTTGTGCTTTGCTATAGTGATTTTCTTGTTTACTGAAGCAATTAGCTGGAGTTTTATTTTTTTCGAAATACGTTATTCAGTTAGATTTATGCCTAATAGTTGTAACATACTTTGATTGATACGCTTTTAAGTGTAAAATTAGTAGTCCTTTAGCACGCTCAGAATTTAACACTGTATTTGACACGCCTAAAACATTCGTACAACCATCGTTAATTATACCCTGAAGCCCTTTGTTAATTATCCCAATCCAATTTTCAACTGTTAAAATGGGTTTTGGCGAAATAGATAAGCTACTGATTGTTTTTTTCGCAAAAGAAATTTTATTGGATCCAGTGACATGAAGTTATACGATGCTCGCGCGTCTGTCAAGAGCTTCGCTTTTTCTGAAAGGAGGAAGCTTGTAATTTATTGCGATTTCCAATGACTTATAATACTCGTGTGCTTTTTAAAAGGTGTTTTATTTTTTACCAAACGCGTCATCATACTGCTATAACATGAAAATGCGTTAATTAAGATGTGGCCCCATTCTGCCGTGAGCTCTTTCTTTTAACGAGTGTAGTAAAATGAAAATGATAAGATAAAAATATATACGCCCAATTTATATTTAACAAAAATGACGGATATACGGATAAAATGGGCGAAAGTTTTATGAGCAGCCACACCTGCCGCACAGAATATAATAGCATAAATGAAGGTACGCTTTTAAAGCAATAAATTTTTTTAAGTTATATGTTAAACAAAATGTATGGAGAGTGACTAGGTTTTTTTATTTTGATTCCTGCATTGCTTTTAACACTGTATCTAAAAAAAAACAGGTAATTTTTTGTATAGATTCAATATAGCCACCATTCACCGGCAATACAGCTTAAAATTGGGACCTATATCAATACTACTATTTTCCAAAAGAGCGCTTTCTTTAGTTTACCAATAGGTTTCCAATAGTGATCGAGAGCCAATCAGTGCTAGTAAATGTAGACCCACTAAAATGTCGCTCAAATACACTCCATAAAAAATAATAAAACTAAATTTTGGTTTATTTATTTCGAAATCCTATTGATATTAGCGTTTAAAGCAGCCAAATAGTCCAACAAATGCGAAGAAGCCGCAGAAGTTGGCAACGAATGCTCCCCTTTCAGAAACAGCCGCTAATTTTTATATAGAACATCCAAGATCATCAACAAATTTCGAGCTTTTTCAATGCTCTTCGAGATACTCTGCTTTGGAAGATGTACATTTTCCTCGAGAAACGCATAGAAACTAACAATAAGGCAGGCTTCACTACGCCGAACCGCCCGTTGAGGTTTGACCCAAATCAATCGCTCTACCCTGCATAGATATGTAATAAAAACCGCGTCGAGCTGGAAGCAAATGTTTCCGAAACTGAAAGTAACTGGGAAAGATAACCTTGTACCGAATGGCCGAGGAACGAAGTTGTATCGAATGGTAGGCTTGAAAATAGATAGCGATTGAGAAAAAGAAGAAGTAGAAGAAGAAAAAGCCAGAGACGCGACTGCTGCATGTTGAAGAAGCAGTGGCACTGATTTAGGATAAGCTAGAAAAGGGCTAATGGATGAAAGAATATACTAGTAGAATCACACAACGCTTTGAAGCAGGCAAAACTGCTTCTTCACAGATCCTAGTACTGAAGTGGAAGCACAGTAGCCTGCACAGTGCTTTGGTCGTATATACAGAACCTAAAATTCGGAATTTATTCACAGCTTATAGAAATCAGCTGAGCATCATATAATGACTGGACAATTGACTGGACAAATGACTGGACCGTGACAATTCAGACGAGCACTAGTCCAAAATAGGAATTAGATGCACAAGAGTGAATATTCCGGTACATGAAAAGCATTCGCATTGGGCGGATTGCCGTTTCAAATATATACCCAACTATGCGGAGAAAAACGTTGATTAATCCGAACGCATTTCCGCCTGTACTCGAACGAAGGCTAAATTTATTTCAACAGTCTAATGATGGCAAGCTGCGTGGGCCATGTACCGACAAAGCATATTCGAAGCTTGCATTCATCGTGAAGTCAGAAATAAATTATTATATTAAGATTGTCCATTATCCAGGTTGTATGCAGAAAGTAAAAAAAACGAAATACTACTATTTGAAAGAACAACCAGCTAAACATACTTACATTAACATCACATATATACCTTGTATAACTATGGCAAGAGCGAGTAGCAAACACTCATTCACGAAGCGTGTCCAACTATATCGGGAAGATCGATTGATGGGCAACTTTCTGGCTTCTGTTCCATAGAACATGGAGGAGCAAGTTCGGTGGAAGACGTCTTGCGCGTACTAGAATGCCATCGATTAAATTTACGATAAAGTTGCCCAAGTCGTGGTGGTTTAGAGATATTCAAGCCGACCTAGAATACGAACATTCAATTCAAGAATAAGTACAGCGGATGGAATGACTTGGTCATTTGCTCTTCATTAATATGACAACTGCCGGCCTCATATATTTATTTTAGAAAAGGGGTTAGGTCAGGAAGGCTTAATCGCTAAACATTTAGTGAAATAAGCGCTATCTCATAATAAAATTATAGTAAATAGCATTATCGATAGTAGTACGAACTAACCCAAATGGCCACGAGAAAGCAAAATTGAGAAGATAAGCCATCAAGGAAATCGTGCAACAAATGTAAAAATTAATGATTTTTCACGCATGAGCTAGGCCAACAGTTACTGTCGGTACAGACATCGTACTCACTTCATCCCAGTCGTCAAAATCTCGACCCTGGTTATCGTCTTCTTCCGCGAAAGTTATTGCGGTGAGCTTGTAATTATGTTCTAGTAGATACTCATTTACAAGGAAATTAACAGCCCTTTGCTCGTGAGGGAGTAGGGGAGCTTCACCAGGCGTGCACGCTGTTGTTCCGCCGATACTGTGCGGCAGGTCATCCACAACAGTGCGGCATCCGTCATCACCTTGTAGCGGCGCCAAGGATGCAGATGCAGAAATCACAACCGCTGCATCTGGCGTGTGCTCGCTTACTACTGTTAGATTGTTACGCAGACTTCGTATGGCATCCTTAGCCTTACGCAGTTCAAATTCCAGGACGGCAACCTGCGACACACGTACATGTAGTAAAGACAGGTAAACAATAGCCCAATAAATCTAGTTACTTGAAATGAGCTACTGATTTTATTTGTATCCATTGGTAATGAGAAAATTATATACATTTTAAGTAAGCTTCGTATTACAGGTTGTAAGATGGAACATATAGCAAAAATCAGTGTTTTAAAAGACATTACAAAAAATATTGATGAGGATTGAATATAAATATGTAAAGGCAAACCTTTTCCGCCATAAGGCCTTCACCGTCTTCTGAGTAGCGAGTCATATCAAGGCTTTCGAGGGTCTGAACGGATGAAGTACGAGGTAACGGGCAAGGCGTCGTTGCTACAGGTTCAGTTATCTGCACGAGATGCTCGAAGTTACCTTGTGTCAATAAAACAAAAGAATTATACCAACGAACGCATGCACGGTCCAAAAGATATATACAGCCATACATCCTTATACTTACTCGTATGCTGCCGTTACTCTTTGATTTTCCATAAGTATCTCTGTATCCGACACCAAGACACACCTTGTTGTATTATCTGATTATCCCTTCCGGTGAAAAACGTTTGTGATGTTGTACACGCTGCAGCAAAATCCCTTACAAGTAGATTGAACCCGCCTTCACCGTGCAAAGACGGACCCACCGCAGCACTGGCACCATCTAACGGTTGCCAACATTTTTCTTCTACTATTATCATTACGGAAATGTATGTATATAGTTGTTGCTTTTACGCTTAAGTGATGCTTCTAACAACAGCATCACGTGTAGTAACAGCGCTGAAGTCAATCAAACTGCTATCATTACCATTAACAAGCAACTATCACGCTTTCACATGTATCTGTATACCGAACGTCATCACGACACTTGTATATATTTACGTAAACTGAAGAATATCCACTATATGCCAATATCAGCACCACGATCGATCAGTAGCTCTCAGTCTGCTTTTCGCTTAAACGAAGTAGAAACTCTATATGCATTCCGAAATCATTTCGTTCAAATAAGACATTATTTAATACCAAAATCTAATAGCTGTCGCTACTCCCCAAAACGCAGGCTTTTTCTTTATCACTTTCTCAAATGTAATTTGTGCATTGCTACTATATACTTGTACATCGGGCCTTATTATTTCGGTAGCCTTTCCATTCCAACCCTAAGCAATATTAAAATGCCTGCTCGGCCTGAACGAAAGCCCGTAACAGTTATCCCAGTTTTCTGGGTGTAGTTCTACATCGTCCTGGATCAATAAACCCGCTATATAGTCCGAGCTATTGTTGCCATTTTTCTATATTATTCTGTTTCTGTTTCAGTGCTTCTGTCACATTGTTCCGAAGATTTCTTTATCTTGCTCCGTTCGCCCAAACACGTGGAAGGTTCAAGTATGCTATTATCTTTTTCCAAGATCTTTCAAAAATTATTTCCTTCGCGTGTATCTTTTATAATTGAGAGATCCCAATTTTGATTAGGTTGTGTCTGTGCTCCTGCTAACTCTGTACCCTCATGTTGTTATCTTCCTATTTTGGGGTGATTTCAGCCCTTAAAATTTCATGTAAATATCAGGAAGCTCGGGAAATTAGGTTAGCAAACAATACAGACACACCAATACTAATTACAAATTATAGACTAAGACTATCTTTTTAATAACATACAGCTACGTCTTATTTGCAGACAAAATGAGAAAAATCTTTTTTTAATCTGTAATGCTTGCAAACACTGACTAACTTTTACATCTCAATGATTCGCAAGTTTCAGTCGTCAAACACATTATTTCGTAAGGGGAGTGTTTATAATCGTTATAGGACCTATTGAAGCTGCTTTTGAGCATGACTAACCAGGATTATTGAAAAAGTCCCTGAGAACAGGCAGTTCACTTCCTCGATGGAGAAGTTCAGTATGCAGCTCTAGCGCGGAGAGATAGAGTTTTTCGTTCAGAAGGAGGCGCGCGACTCCGTCCAATTTTAATGGCTCACCGCTATCCATCTGCAAATTTCCATTCCAAAAGGTCATATAAAAAAAATACTGTTCCAAGGCAGCGCTTCATTGCATGATAGTTTAGTGAAAGAAACACAAAATAAAAGGCAATTCACACGAAGGTATTTTTATTACTTCACATTTCTAGTTAATTTCAACTAAAAATTGCAGAAGTTTATCATGGCAACAAAATTCGGTATCCTAACACGTTATTGTTACTTACACGATAATACATCTTTCTAATATATTAAATTACTTAAGGTCGTATAAATAAACAGTACTTAGATAAACACTACTTGCAGATAAATTGTTCATCTTATATTAGGAATATCATAGAAGTGTAAGATCAAAAGACGATCTCCTTGAAGCAGTCAATACTCAACTTTCTGCCCGTTATGTAATGACCATAAAAATAGATTAAATGCATAGTTCCTATGGACACTTTTGCTACACTAATTATGTGAATAAAGAAAGGTAAATCATCACATTTTTAGCTCTCGTTTCAGTTTTGTTACTTTATGTTGGGTATTATCCAGGCAAGCCGTGTTTCAGAAGAGTTGTTCCCGTGATATCGTATTGGGTACCGTATTTGTCTCCTAATGTTAGGGGCACATTGTGGTCTAGGTTCAATCCCGGACATAGACATTTCGTTTCGTGCTCAGAGCCAGCTGTCTGATGGAATGCTTACGGCAATACCGGACGTAAATGGTAACGTAAAACATAGATGATTTCTCCTTCAAACACTGTTACACGCACGGCTGATCTAAACTACACAAATTTTGCTGTTTTACAGCTACGAGTTAGTCCCATATAGCTTATCTTTCTGCCTACCAGCTAGGAGTTTAACAAGCTTTATAAATAACAGAGAATTAATGAATTCCACATGAAGCATTCAGAATGAAACAAGAACGAACTCAAGATTGTTTACCAACATCGGGAAGGTTCAGAATATAGCGAAGGCTACGGAATATTGCAAAAATTTGTAAGAGACGTCCTATGCTTTGTAGTTCAGATTTTAATGATATAGCACTCTGGGCATGTTCAGTGTCGTCCGTAATGTCTCGCCCCATTTAGCAGGTATATTCACTATGAGGTCCTAAAAGCTTCAATGAATAACATCACATATAACTCAGTTAAAAAAATGGAGAACATTGAATTCGGTACGAAAATACGATATACGCACTCTTGAAGAAAATATTTTACCAGCATTAAAGATGAATTAACCTAATGCTGCTATTGCGTTTGTCTACAGAGGTTCGGGGCGCGGTGGGTGATTTGATTTAGAAATTTCTTTCTACCGTTCCATGCAGGGGGCCAACTGTCTAAAGCCGTGCCTAACGACAATACCAAACGTAAAGTTCGAAGCTTATAAACGTTAAAAAAAATCCTTCAAGGAAGAGCAAACGTTTTAGTATCTTATTATCTATTAAATTGCGGCCTGTATAATTCTCAGAACCCAACAATAGTTATAATAATAATCAAGGTGTATATATGTATTTTTAGGAGTGAGTTAACTTTCAGCTACATTCTCCAAGAAGGGTGTCCCCAAAGTCTCTGCATAGTCAGCATTTTCATTGCACAACGGTTTAGGTACCAGAAAATACATAACAAATGAACGCAGTCAAGATTTGACTATGCAAAATGTTTGTGCATTTGTAGAGGGGCATTTTAATGTCATGAAAAGGCATTGCAGATAAATTTGCCATGAAAAATTTAGGCTTAGAATCTGTCTCTGGCCTGTCGAAGATAGAAACTAACTTCGAAGCGTCTGTAACGATGACTCGTCATTGACCTTTCATGACTGACAAATGCTTTGGATCTGCGGGTAGATGAAACTAAAATATGAAGATATTAGACAAACGACTTCGGAGTACGTAAATAAGACAATAACTTATACGATGAGAAAATAACATGTTTTTATTAAGAAGTTCGGTCAACTAAAACACGCTTAAAAGCATGTAAAAGATAAGGGAATCCTAGAACGGTAACACTGGTAAAAGGTCGAGATTCAATACAAGTAAGGTGAGTCAACATATGAACGTGGAAGCAGTTAAAAATAGCAAGCTTGCCCCTATAAAAAGCACAGCCGTACCTATCATTAATATGAAAAATCTCATGCGAGGAATCAACCACATACCTTAAGAAAAGTGGATTCTAATAAACTTTTAAATGACCAGTAAAACAGGATTGAAACTGAGACCATTCAATGTGGTATGAATTCTACATGGATGTATCGAGCTATCAAAACTATTCAACTAAGCCAAGACATCACCATGATTAATTTAAATACACAAGAATTAACCTCCAGTCGTCTGCTGTTGAAATACCAAAAATGTTTTACAGCAGGATTCCAACTATGCGGAGAAAGATTTCGAAAAAGCTGTTATGCTATGGATGACATGGTACTGCTTTGGTGAAAGCACCGAAAATTTGGAGTAAGTGAACAGATGACGTCAATATTTTCAGTATTTCCTTTAGAATTATGCCACTGTAATAAAGGTTAACCACGTTTATTTCTTAAATTAAATACTTTCCTGGTCCTTTTTAAGGCAACAACTGTTTTCTAGCATATTTTGGGTAGGATGGAGACAAAACTTTATTGATACGTTACTAACGTTACCCTAGCTAATGTCACATGGTCAGATTATGCTGCCCCAATTGTAATGGTAGAAAAGAAATATGGTGACATCAGATAATGTTGATTTTTCTACTGGTCTAGATACCAATCTTGAGCACCATCATTGCTTATCACTTCCATCGAAAGCTATGTCTCAAAAACAAATGAAGAAATGTTTTGTCCTTTTATGATCTAGCTGAGCCATAGCTGAAACTTAGACGATGAATCAAAATAAATTTGCAGAAGAGATGCTAACGAAGAGGGAGATTCCAGTATCTGGTAAACTAAAAATCTACATAGGTATTTGAGTGGATACATATTAACTTTGCGATACCGGTAGCTAATTAAACGTATTTAATTACTGTAGAGTTATTTCCGATGGTTTGAAATATATACTATGCGATCCGTAGCTACTTCAAGCACGACAAACACAAAACGGAATATATTTTCTAGCTACGGTTAGCTAACTTACCGTTGTTTTAGACAATGACCCTCAATTCACAAACATCAATTCGCAGATATAGAATCACTTAGAGCACAACATATCTGTACAGCTTCAATTCATTTACAATATAACGGCTCGGCCGAACAATTTGTTTATGTATTTAAGCGAAGCTATCGCAAGCTGAGACGGACACATGATCCAATGACTTTTAAGTAGCTAGCTCTAGAATTCTACAGTTCCGCCTGTAACTTAACTGAAAAATCTTCTGCAGAACTGTTTTTGGGAAAGAAAATTTGCGTACATTTTGATTTTTTTTCTGAAAAAGTGAAATACTAGTACAGCAGCTGTGACTAAAAGAACCCAAAAAGTCACGAAGCAAAAATTACTTTGATAGTCACCACCGTATTAAAGAAAAATAATTTTATGGATTAGAGACCAGAAGACCAGAGTAACAGAAACAAGTAAGCGCCTAATATCACTCTCGATGGATTAGTAGAGTAATGTAGAAGGCTTAAATATATAATCAAAAATGAACATGCCACGCTAATTAGTTAAGAAGCTTTTTTTACTTTCGACTCGACAGATTCTGGAACACAACATTACTGATCATGCCGAGTCAAGGCCCTCAGACATTGGAGGATACTTAGTCAAAACCACAACCGGTTTCTTTGACCAGACCTCATACCAGGATTACTTTAAGGCTCGGTAGCCTAACAGTGAAAGAAACCGAAAAATACTAGGCAACTACACAAAGACATCTCTTCTAAACAAAGAGAGAAGTATTATATATATACTATATAAACTTCAATATCTACAAAAATACTGAGATAACGATCATACAGTAGTAGTCTCTATGACAAGACAACAATGAGTATTTTCTTGTAGTAGTCCAATACCCATAGATGTCATAGATGTCCATAGATAGCATCAGTTACGTTGCAAACGTTGTTCCGAATTTAACGTACGATCTTCGTTAATAGTGAATACTGGTGGGTTTAGCACACGGTAGTTCGCTGGCCCTTGAATGTGGCTGGGAGTGAAAATGAAGTACAGCAGGATGGGTTAAGCTGTTTAGAGACACGTGGTTTAGTGCCTGACGCAAAATTAGACAAGTATGGACAATAATCTAATCGCCGAAGCACTTTGACGAACAATTTTTTCTAGCTCATTTCATATTTAAATATTCCATTAACTGAGAATTCTTAAAAATGTTTATTTGCTGCCGCCAATCTAGGTCACGTACAACGTAGCGTGTCACCCCTCCGTTGCACTTGTTATGCGATATGCCCATGCTCACTATAAAACCTTATAACTTTGCCATTCCTTCTGAATCAATCTGTACTAACATCTGATCAGTATCTTGTCAGTGCCTTGTAACATGTATTTTTACGTTGTTGGATAGTTTTATCATGGGTACGTCTCCTCCTAGAACATCAAAAGTACACCTAGAACGACAGAATTTCGCCCAAGAAGCTCCCGAATAGCCAATCGATAAAATTTTTCACGGTGAAAACGGCATCATAAATGGTACCATTTAAAATGTTGACTACGGAATCCGCATCTATAAACTCGTATATTGGTAACTGACTTATCGAAGTATCGATTAAAACTGTTCGTACCAAAAACTGTCCTCGGACTCTTTGGATTGGTTTCGGAAGTTTTTTCAGGAAATTAGTAGTCGCAGGAATAATGGTCCAAGTAGGCATGGGATTGGATAGTTCTTGAGGTGGCCTCAATTACATGCGCCCCAAGCGGAAAAACGGAAATCTGTACATATTTCAGACGTTTGTCTCGTTATTCCATTTAGTAAAGCCGATAAACGTTCAGGGGAAAGACGCGATATGTAATCCAGGGCATTCCCCTCTGCAATTCGTAAATTAAGGGACAGTTGTGCGGTAGATCTTGTATTGTAACAATGACCACGTTGATCAATGTGTAACACTTCTGTCGATAGTTAAAGTAAATTCCAACAGTAATCATCATTGCAACATCAATCGTGCCTCCTTCAGTAATTTAAATTTGCTGTTTGCTCTATGTCACAGATATTGATATTGGCTACGATCATACTTGTAAGTATATTTGGCCAGTTGTCCAAACCACATGCCAATTTAATAATACGAAAACAAGGATCACGTTCCACTGTTACCATTTAAAGATGACCTTTTCGGAGCCTGGTGATTTTCTGTTAAGTCTGATGAACTTGTGTCACACACCAATGTCACATGCACTCGCGTGTAGTGGAGACGATTCACCATTGATTTTTGGTTGCACGTGAAGAGCGATTTCATATAGGGAAGGGCGTGGTGTTGCTAATAGCATCAACAGACATGGTTATGATTTTCGTCGTTGGCAACCCCGAGTATTCTCCATTTGCCTTTTCTGGGCTTTTGTTCTCGCAGAAAGAGTAGATTATCGGTCTAAATGCTAAGTCGTGGTCTCTTTGCCGTTGCTGGTCATCATCGCTTACTTTGCCGGATACGTCTGCGTTCTTTCCATCCAGTCCTGTCGTGCTGTTCCAACTCCTGTTTGCTCAACGTTGTGTGTTTAGGCGCGCTAACATTATTGACGTCCCTCAGCTGTTGCGCACTATCGTTGGCCAATGAATCCTGGGATTACTTTGACCAGCTGAGCCTTGTGTTTGAGCCGTTGTATTTAAAACTTCTAGAATGCTCGGCGTTGCCGTTGTATTCAAAGATCTAACAACAAATGCATAGCTACGAATGTTATACTTCTTCCAATGGTGATTAGTTTAACATTCCAGAGACAAGGCGGCACAGGTGCCTCAAAGTGACTAAAAGTTTTGCATCGGTGGCAAAGTGATACGGAGCAATCCGCTTTAACATGAACTGGCTGAAGACATCGTCTACGTAGAATTCCTACCTCCGCTCTGTGACAGGCACCAAGCAACCATATGTATTGATGGTATTTGATATAAGCTGACTCTTTGCCATGTCCACAACACGCTTCCTTGTCTCGAGAACAATCGGCTTATTTTGATGTACTTCATCAGAAATATTATGACCAAGCTTATCCAGAACAGTTTCAAGTCCTCCATTCGGATTGGATGAGTTTTTTTAGGCTCAACTCCGAACCACTTGCATACTGAAACAGTAGGTATTCGGAAGGTGGGGCTAGCTGGGATCTGTCAGCGGCAAAAATGGTTTTGAAACTTATGGCATAATTTTTATTGCTGATTTCTTGAGTTGATTACTGAGACTGACTAACGACTGCGATGGTGTCAATAACCCTACTAATTTATTAGGTTCTCCAAAACTCTTCTTTCGGCAAACTTGCCGCTCTTTCGCTGCCTCAGAAGAACTATTAGTGGTGACTAATATATCAGAGACTAGGCTATTGGGAACCTCAGTTCATCACCTTCTAACTCCATTTCGGGCAAACGCGCAAATTTTTGACAGGACTAGTGGATTGTAAAAAAATGTGTATTAACACTCAAAAATAGACAGTTTTTCATAGACTACACACATAGCTTCACTACTCCCAGAGCAGCGCTCGCCGCTGACACGAGCGATCAATGTTAGTAGAAAGAAAGGGTAAGAAAAGGCAAAACAGCATCAGTCACATGGATCGTTGGCCGTTGCGTTTTTGTCGCGTCTGCACATCTTTTAACGAACGTGCGACACTTGAATCGGCTCCCGTTAACGACGAACATACGAGTGCACGTATCAACGAGCAAGGAAACTACAACAGCAACAGGGGCGAAGGGTACAATAATGGCCGTAATAACGTCGTTATAGTATAGCGTCCCTGCTATTTTGAATGCACTCTCGCGATGACGCACCGAACAGGCAAACGAATAATGTGGATCGTTCCCGAACAGCTTCGGATTATATATATATAATGTTGCAAACGATAACGCCAATTGCTTTATGATGCAATGGAGGTTTCAAAGAGAAATTATTAACCACCTGTCGGCTTGGAGGTCTGCAAAAGGATCAGGTAATACATCTTCATCAAAAGTTATCCATGAACCTCAACATGAGACGAAGTGATCAAACATCAAATTTATCTTGACCATGATCTTTTAGTACAACCCAGAATACGTATTCGACGAAGTAAATAAATTCTTTCACATCAAAAAGTATATACCACATCACGGGGCATACCTACATCTCTTAGTAGTCTATTTGCCAAGCGAACTGGACATGAAATCTAGGCGGAATATATCTATGATATTTATATGGAGTAGATGATTCTCAGAGCTGTTCATGAAATTTACATGGAGTCCATGTTATACCTCTGGGCAAGGAAATTGGCCACGACGCCTGTTTTAACTATTCATTTCTATATTAGATTAAAATTTGAGAATGCATTGTCGTGCGGTAGTGTCCGTTATAAAATAGTTTGACTCTCATCTTGTTTTAAAAGAAAACCGTGACATAGGCGCCACCTGAAATATTACCCGACACATCTCCTATATGATTACATTTTTTACACTAAAAGCACTCTGATAATATACATCATGAAGGATCGAAACGGTATACGTGAATATATAAATAATTTAAATAGGATCAAGATACAAGTATTTTTTACCCATATATATATATATATGTTTATTAACGTCTTCAATTGAATATTGGGTTTTATATTTCACATATCAGAAATATTAGGTATTCTAATACGTCGTCTTTCAATTAAGTCGCAGTCTGTTAAACTATTACGTGTTTGGTATGAGATTCACAACAAATATAAGACGAGAGTACACATTGTTAACAAAGGTAATGTTATTTGACGGGATTGCAGTGGAGTGCCCTTCCATAAGCATTTGTCAAACCGCCGAGCTGTTATCACGATTACGTACATTATGACCGAGTAGAAGAAAAGTCAAGCTTCATTATAACTATTCCCGGCTTTGCACATCTTTAGTGATTTGCCAAAAATTATCAAACAGTTATCGGGATGTTTTGTCTTGTCCAACTTATAGTCCTGGCCCTGCTTTTTTCGATTATCACCGTTTCCGATTCTTACGGAACCCCCTTAACGGGAATAACTTTAAAAGTTGCAAAAAACAAATTGACCAGTTCATCACCTAAAAATTACGAATTTATTTATCATAAGCTTAAAAAGCACGTAGTCATTTATCGTAATTGTTTTAATTATTTATTACAACTATGACGTAATATATACATATAAAACAATGAGAAGCCATAAAACTGGCATTTGCTTGGGTCTCTAACACAGCCGTCTATATGCCATTCACATCGATTATCGATGAATACCTAACAAAGGCTCTTATTCACATTATTCTGCGATTAAATACATATTCTGTCCTTTTAGAGCTTTCCACTAAGTATTTCCACTATATATAAAAGTCGATATCTGACACTTTTTTTTTTGTCTGTTTTGACAACGGCTGAAGGTAAGCAGCTGTAATACGCTTTAAGACACAGCTAATTGCTCAACTGTGTGGAAAAATTTATAACCAAAATTTATCCAAACTTAAACGTATAGATCAAAATCAATTCGTTTTGACGAGTAGAATTTTTCTTCGTCCTTTTTTCTAACGTATACGCCATCTCGAAAGTAGCCCTGTTCGCTCCAAGCCAGCATATCCTCTGACGAGTAAGGTCCGTACACCTGTGAACCATTTTCTTCATCCCATTTGTACTCCCACATAACTTTCTCGTCGCCAGTCACCATAAAATCTGCGGATGATGATTCCGACGTAGATGGCGTATCATTATTCTTCTTTATGTCAGCTGTTGTTTCGTCGTCAGCAAAAATGTCCATATCAGAGGTATCCTACAAATATTTTTAAACCGATTTTTTTTATAGTACATGAATGATTTGAGGTCATGTAAGTTTACTTTAATGGGAACACACTATTCCATCTTTGTTGGTAAACAAAGACCTATTATAGCATTTTATTTTATTGATTTATTGTATTCTAAATAAAATGTTTATCATATTAATGAAGAATGATGATATTAGCGTCAGGATCTACGTGAACATCAAGCTAGGTTTAAACATCTATTGATAATAAAAAATATACGAAATTTAAGAAAGCTCGTCAGTACTATAATATGCAATAAAGCTCTGCAGCTCCGTCTATATATATATCAACCACTCGCTATAAATACACAGAAGTCTGCTCCAATTTACATACATGCTGATATGTCATAGTATTCTACCTGTAGAAAATCACAGATTCTATTCGATCAAACATCAAAGTTGTACACAAGTATCAATGCAATATCAAAATCGGTTCCAAGACTCGGGAGTAATTTTCTATAAAAAAAAAAATATTTTGTTGACTTGTTTATTTTTCCAATGGGATTTTTAAGTGCTTCAGTAGGTATATGCTCAAATACGTACGAGTACAATATGAATCAATAATAATGAAAGTTTAGATAGAAATTGCCAACCTTTTTAGGCGCAAGAGCCAATCTGAGTTGTTCATACGTCCTCTGGTAGATATCCATGTCGCCGGTTGCGAGAATATCACCAGCACACCCTACAATCTTGTCCAGAACAGCTTGCTGTTCCGGATTCAGTTTTCTTTTATCTCTAAAATAAACGTATTCATTTCCAAAAGAGAAGAGAGAGAGTATGTAGTATCTGTGACCTCACCAATTGTTAGCAATCGCCATTGTTATTATATCACAGGCAGCCATAAAAATATTTAATTTCCAAACCTTTCCACACTGTCTATTACCTGAAACTATAGACGTAAATATTCTAAAGTAGTTGAATTATTTATGGACTTACTTGCGGTTGCTTCTACTTCCATGCTGTCCGCCTCCCAGTCTCTTAATACATCGGAGCACATCTTCACCTGGACGCATTACCTCAAGCATTTTGGCATACGTTGCCTTAATGTCAACTGTTTGTGGGGCGTCAGATTCGGAATCAGAGGAATCAGCCAGGCCCTTTTCCTTTTCCTCGATTTCTTCGCGTTCCTTCACTTTCACCTACAATAAGCAAAATACAGATATAATATAAATAAAGTCGTTGAATACACAACAATTATCATATACTTCAAAAAATGCTATTTGATTTACTATTTTGACACTTTTTTGTCCGAGAGCTGCTCTCGTACTTGCTTTGGAGTACAAAACTGTTCACTCATATATAGTTACCCTAGTTTTCGACAGGCGAATTTTACTGAGCTATGAAAAATCAGAAAACTTGAGTGACTTACGAATATGAGTTCTATCCTAAAGCTACAATGAAAGTGAATGAAATGTTCACAGTTGTTTACGACCCATCTCAAAGTTTACGAGTGTAAGCATTTGGCTTTGATGAATGTAAAAACATCATACTTGTTCAGCTCGGTGAAATTTACAATGTAAAAAAATAGGCAGAATAACTGCCGCATGATTTGAGCAAGCATCAAAAAATGAAGAAGCAGAGACGTTTGCCCTTATTTGTTGTAACGTTCCGATACTGACCCAACCTTGTGTCGGACTGTGACTTATCACAACGTTCACAGTAGTGGGTGGCCGCAAGTGAGCAATTACAATCTAACGCGAATGTACGGCCTTAATAGCTCATAGTGTATATTTGATGGTCTAATGCAGGCGTTGTCTACTACAGCTTCATGGCTTCTGATCGTCGATTACGGCTGAAGTTAGAATTCATTATCTCCAATTTCATACTGAACGACCTAACACAAGCGGTTACCATTAAATAAACGTCGGCTTTCTCCAGAACGATCAACCTTAGTTCTTTACTAAAACTGTGCTCAAAAAGGTGGGACAAAGATGTTTGATGCTCTATGTTTAGGGACGTGAATGTGTATTAGAAGGAAGACTGAAACACATCGCTACTTTTGTGTGTTCAAAACATGCTTTAGATTCTAGCAAAAAAAAAAGCTGGCACTGCGTTAAGTCAAATGTGTTGCAAGTTTTTAGCTAATTCATGCAAACAATGTAAGCTTACCCAGTCAATATTATCCAGCCAGCTGTCTTTAATTTCTTCCTTTTCTTTTTTGAAAATAAACGTCCCTTCTTTATCGAAATGTCCTTGCTGCATTTCTTCTTCCATATTGAATGCTGTAATTTTTGTCTCGCCATCGAACGTAATAGTGGCTTTTTCCTGTCCATCAAACATTCGATCCGTTTCAGCGTTCGCAACGTTATATTTATCTTTTTCTATTTCAGGTTCATCCTCCTCATCACTGTAAGAAAATGTGACGATGCAAACAATCCGAATATTTTTAATATGGTGTTCCCGATGCCCTTGCTCGATAATGAATCACGAAGTACTCACATCCTTCTACCGCACTGTAGATACAAACCGAAAAAAAATGCTGAGTACACTATTAAATAGGAATAAACAAATAGGACCCATTTCCTTTGCGATATATAACTTGAGGGTGAATTCATTGATCCGGTTTTTTTTTTTTTGCTAGGAAATTTCTAGAGAGACACGAACCGAAGCATTCGAAAGAATTGACGGATTAGTTTAATTAGTATATATAAACAAGATATTGACTATGACTGTGAACGTATTTACTCATGCGCTATGATCCTTAAAATATTTATCAAAAAGGTTTCCTACGGCGCGTTATATGTATAGTTTCTCATGGATTTCTCACGTAGTGCGTCATTTCCTCTCTTTAACCATGAAGCTATATATATATATATATATATTTACGTGTGTTGAGTTTATAAAATTATAATTTACTTGGATACCTACAGGTAATTAGGTTACCTGTCTAGGGAATTCATCTTAGCTTTTTTTATCTCAATTTGATCTTCATCGCCATCATCATCACACAGGCCAACTGGGTTGCTGCGACTTTTTTGCCTTCGCAAAGAACTCGACTGTTCTTCCGGTGGGGGTACCATTATAATCGAATAGCACTGGCACAATAGCAAAAAAACACTGCGGTGGCTATTTGAGTACAATTGGCGCGAAAAGGATAGTATAACTGGATAACTTCACCGCTATTGGACACATTCAATTGGAAATGAATAACGGCATTGTCCGATCTGGCATTTCGCTTTCGAGCACACGTTCGGTATTCGGTTTGTTTTGGTTTGAGCTATTGTTGTGATGATCATGATGATAATGATGATGATGATCGCAATAGTGGCGGCATTTTAAATTTTGCGGCATATGTCGATATATATAATTTGATTCCAATATTGCTGTAGTAAATATTTGCTGTCGTAAAATATGATTTCTAATGTAGCGCAGGAAAGTGCTACTCTAGTATAGGCTCGCATGGGTTTCGCCCAGTAGCAGCGCCTCTGCCTTTGTGTTAGCAATTACGTGTGATGTGTTCTTTGTGTACTCGTCTGCGATGACTTCGTTTGCTGCTTTTGATATAAAATTCTCATTCCATATCACACATGTTTGTCCACCTACACGTTTTTGTGAAAATCGTACAAGAAGGGTTGCCCTCATATTCGGGTAACTCAATTATATTGCTATCAACACAGCACCGCTACTTGAGCATTTGCATGATTCAGACCTTTTTGTTACATGAATTATGGTCAAACTCTGACGGTGAAGCCATATTATGGACTGTGATGATCCGAAAAAAAGCGCTAAGTCATCGTTTCGGCCTGTGTTAACGACTTCGAGACGCCATTACTTTCGACGCGCTCAGTGCGACCAGTGTGTTTCTTGAAAAAGAAAACAGTGGAAGAAATCCGGACGCTATGAGAGCTTGATCTCGCTTGTTTTCTCGCTAAAGGTTCGACGTAACTGCTACGAACTTCCTAGGACGTACACTTTTTGTAAGAATATTTTTAGGCGCTACATAGTTGTCGGTCGTGTTGCCAAATGATGTTCAGTAAAGACCATCCATATTTCTGAAAAAGTGACAACCTACGATTTTTCAAGTTTTAAAAATGTTCATCCAAGTTACCAGCGAAACAGAATTATGCAACGTTTGCTTTAGCCTCATTTCGCTACGTTACTTAGTGACGTTGAAAGCAGCCATTAAAACACAGTTTAGGGTAGCATAATTTTTTTTTGTTGATTTTGACAAAATTTTTTTGTTGATATTTGAGGGTTACTAAGTAAAGCGGTTTGAGATTATATTTATTTGAAATACGGATCCTGCAAGCAGTTTCTTCTTCTGCGTCAGGACCCACCATGATCATTTTCCGTTGACATTTTTGGAATTAAAATGAAGCGATGAGTATAACTGTTTGATCCAACTTTAAAATTATCGTAAGCGTGTACTATTAGTTAAGCATTTATCTAATTAGTTTCCCTAAAAAGAATCGTTTATTATTAATATATTCGCGCAATTATGTTTGGCGTATGTGGGTGTTCAAGTTAATTATTTCACAATTCAACACCAATGACGACGAAATCTGTTTCTTTATCAGTAAGATTAATAAAGATAGATTTATTCATACACGACTTTCGTAAAATCCAAAGAGACTTCGTAGTTGAAAGTTATGAGACATTCCAATTTGAAAGTTTAGTTCTCACACTGTCTTATATTAGTAGAAAGCACGACACTCTTTATTGCTTCGACGATAATTTATAACGTTATGTGTCCTCATCGTTAGCTCGCGACGTTTTCCTACCGTTCCACCAAATGATATATGCCATCTCGCCAGAAGGTAGCAGTGTTGCTGTTCTCTGTCGAAGATGATTGTTTATTGAATGAAAACGATTCAAATCCGTTGGTGCAAAGTTCGGAAAATACGGAGGGTGCAACGAAACCTCCTACTCAAAGTCCGGAAAGAGAGCGTTCCCTGTGCGTGTTCGGGCTGTTATAAAGCGACATGATCTAACCTCGTGTGTCGCCTCTTTTCCTGGATTGCTTGTTTGATTCGATGCACCAGCCAAACAAATGTGCCTGTCACCTGTGCGGCTTGTAGTATGCAGTTCCCAGTAAATCAGGCCCCAGTAAATCTTAATAGACGCAGCTATAAGCTTTTTGAAATAAAGACATAACTGGATCTTGAGCCTTGTATCCTCTTATATAGCTACCCATTCCTATTGCTGGTTCATGCCACGTACAGACACGACTTCTCACCACCGGCGACAACTCTGTCCAAAAACAGGGCATTGGGGCCGCGTGACGCTAGATACCGGGTCAGGTTTTGAGATGCAACGTTAAGACATGATTCTTTGTTGGACTCAAAAAGTTTATGAGGCACCAGAGCTTTAAGTTTCTACACAATTTCAAAAAATTAGAGGCGGTTCACAGCGGTCGTCGATGTTTTCTAGCTACGGGCTAACGATTCGCGAATTGGAAATCCACTCTTAAACAGTTTTGTATGTCGATAGCACTGTTACCGTATATAAGGCAAATGGACTTGACTGTTTCTGCAGCGTTTTGACCTTGACGAAATTCGTACTTTAGGTGGTGTCGAAAACGCACTGTTTTCCACTTGGAACATCAACACTTCCGCATAGAAATTGCACTATAGCGTCACATCACGCTGATACAGTAGGAATAACGTTTTCAAACGGTATATCAGGGATAAACAATCAATGAGGAAAAATATTTTTAGAGCGTGTCAACTTTCTAAATATATCATACATCGTGGTAAAACCGTTGCAGTCGTTTTGCGCAGATCGCAAAGCTTTACCGTAAGTTTGTACGCCCGATATAAGCATGTAGGATAAAAAAAAAGTGAATTCGTAGCATCGACTCTAGGATAGGAGAAGAGTATCACATTGACATTTATAACAACTAAAACTGAGAGAAGAGAAGCAATAAGCTAGCATAGCAATTTTATTAATAACCCAATATACAAAAGCAAAGTATTGTCATCATGGCAAATTATAATTCGTGGTATGTTTTTTGAAATATTTTCAAAATTCTAAGTTCATGTAAAATTGTATTTTCTTAATAGCTCCTATATATTATCATTAAAATAAAAATAAATTATAATATATAAATTATATTATAATTTAAAGTAATTTTTCTAATAATAATAATAATATAATTTATAATAATTTTAAATAAATTATATATTATTAAATATAATATATATATATACATCTTTAATAGCTAGCATTATCGTCGCCGTGTTCCTTGCCTGTGTTCATTGTTAGTCAAAATTGGTACAAAGCAGGGACAATATACCGTACCCTTGAAGCGAAGTTTGTTTTTAGCTTTGTTCTTTTAGCCGTAGGATCAGTTAAGTCGTAGCGTTGCATTCAGATGCAGCGCAGATAAGTCTCTTGGCCCGAAAGAGTCACCAATGTTTTTACGGAGTGTTGTTCGAAAGAAATAAAAAACTAGTATTTGTGTGAGAATTTTGATATGATGCTATCAAAAACGTTTATCGTTGTCATATTGCTGACAACTTGTTTATTGACGCAATAAGGGCCGCCCTTAGTTCGCGCGCTTACATGCCGGATATGTATTATAATTATAAACCATGATGACATATTAATGTGTATATATATTTTTTTTTGTAGACAATGCTGTTAAAAATTATTTAAATTTTTTTTTATTATTTAAAAAAACTACACGAACGTATGTGCATTACTTTCGCAAAATTAAGAGCCAAAATTCAACTAATACAACGACCTGACAGTTAATAACATCTAAAGTGGCTAATAAAGGCACATTGCTTTTTACTCCACGACGCAGCGATTTTATTCACAATTATATTACATATCAACTGTACAAAGTAAAACTTTGCGTTATATCATTAGAAATCATGAGAAACCAATATGTTCGGCCGAAGCACAGCACCATCCCAACATTTTTCAAGTGACATGGTTGTATACATCGACAGTCGATTAATTGGTACGCATGGCAACAATTTTCATTGTCTCGAAGAAAACCATACGATACTCAGATGTGAGCTAACACGTGTCATATCTTAATAGGCTTCATTGTATAATACTTCAATAAGACCTGTATTCTAAATTTGAATAACGACGACGGTTTGAATGTTGGTAACACGTGTATACACATATTATTCATGCCTACATTCCTATTGGTAGAGGTGCTTTTCCTGCCTCACGCTCCTCTGTGTAGATTCGCTGTAGAATCTGATCTACCAGTTCTCTGAAAAATTCAATATAAATCAGTCATGATAAATGCCTATTTTCTTAGCAATAGGATTTAATGAATTCTGTTGGCATTATGCGTACGGTCTGATTATGGTACAATAAGAGCGCTGCCGGATAGTGAGTGTGAAAATGATACTACTAACCACTAATTTTTCAAGCGGTTCTAAACGGTATGTGGCTGTACATGCCTAAGCTGCCTTGTATTTAGAAGTATTGTAAGAGAACTGTAGTTTAGGTTACTGCGATCCTATAGTCAGCATGCAACATGCAAGCATATAAATGATTTGTATTTCGTATGAAATTGTTGCCCTACTGTATATTGGAGTTTTTCTCTCGCAATAGATTCATATCTGTTTCGTAGCGACGGCTAAGCAGTTGTCTCACGTCGTGCCGCTGTTCAGCTAAGCAACTTAGAAGAAATGCAGCTTTTATTCGAACAGGATCCGCTTCGGTCGGTTCACAAATGAGTTTAACCAAAACGTCTACTGCGCCTTCGTTTGACGCATCGTTTTCAATTTCTCCGTCGTCAGGATTTGGTAGAAGGTAAGAGGCAGCCGCCGAACTTTGATTGCTACGTAGAATTGCTGAAAAAACATTGGTAGGTCAGAAAATATTAGCGTAATCTGTATTAGCTATGGAAAAATTGAAATATCAAGAGGAAAGGTTACCGTTCGCGTGTGCAATTTCGTTACTTTAAAACGTTCGTGATAAAAATTGGGAACACTGCAGAGCAAATAACTATAGAAAGCTAAAAATGTCATTTCTACTCACCAGATAAAGCGTACACAGCTTTAGTTTTGGCAGCAGTGTCCCGCTCGGATTTAACAACGGTGATTAATTTGGGGATTAACTCGAGTGCCGCCTGCTGGCACTCAGGAGAATTTTGCGCCAATTCGGCCAAAATAGAGCACAAAGGAGCTATCATATCGTTTAAAACCGACCCAGGATCTGAATGATCGGCACACGCGGTCATTAAAAGGGCGGAGATTGGAGCCACAGCATTCCGACGGTCTTTATCTGGATGTCAGAGAAAATTAACTGTCGTAATAATAATAATAATAATAACTGTAATAAAGTGTCGTTAGGTACAACCTTTTGCTTCGCTAAAAGAATATGATGAATATCTGTCATATGATTATTAACACATCAAGCCTATTGGATTATTATAACCGTGTTATTGTATTACGGTCAGAGACTAAGATCAGCTGAATAGGTAGAAAGAATCAATTGTATAATTACCTTCCACGCGAACAAATTTGCTACAAGTAGTCGGATCCACTGCTGCGGATCCACATTTATTTTTATTTTCACATCGAGTAAATTGTTAATTTTTATCTCTTTATACACCCTAAGGCTAAGCCTTTTGTTTGTAATTCTAACCCCGACGGAAGCCTTACCGCATTATGGTTTATAGTACCGTGTAGTGCGATGCTGCCTAAACATCTACTTAATAAATACTATTGAAATATTCTTATAGATACAGTGTCAACACTTTACTAATAAACACATTCCTTAAAATAACTGTATTAAGGAAAATTCTGAACTTTCAACTATGAAGCAGCACAGCACGGTACCAATCGACTGTGTGCCTATAATGAGAATATCGAAATCAAGCTCGGGAGTGATGACCGTAACCGAGAAACCATTGGAATAATTCTAAGCTGGAAGTCCAGTTAAACAGGAATACAGTACATCGATAAATCGATATAGTCATGTCGTTTCTAACTATACTTCCGCGCTCTATATATATGGTACGTAAACCTTGCGTATTACCCATTATATATAATTTCGTAGATAATATCTAATGGGAACTAGAGTACTGTCCTCTGCGCTCAAGGTTGCCTGATGTCACAATGACCCAACTCTGAATGAGAAATTATTAATTAAATTAGCTATACCATCGGCCCTGTCCAGTAACTCGCCGTCGTCTGCTATGTGCTGCAGTTCGTTCTTGATAGCGTCTAAGATATGTGGTTTCTGCTCATCTTTGATTAAATCAACGAGACCGCTGAGCACCGACGTTATTCCCTTGACCGCAGCAGTCTTAGCCTTCACTTCAGCCGAATTTACGCTCTCTAGGTCGTTATTATTAGAATGTGGTACTGCCATCTCACCCAGTACTTCGTTCAACCAGGCGCGGTCCTGCACAAACGGATTAATTATACGCTCAGTCAGTCATTTTTGTCACATGCAACGTAAATCATTTGAAAAGATAGGATAAATAATGACATAATCGATTGTTTCGACGCCCATCCATCAGCTGATTCGTGCTCTGAGTAAACTGAGTGAAACGTTAAGGATCTTATGCTAATTTTTACCTCTTGTGGCAGTAGTTGCTATTTTTATTGTTTTAAGAATATGAGGCGCGCAACATTTAGAGGTCGTACTTTGCCCAACGTCTATAAACTAACTTTACTAATAGAGATTACTATTAAATACCTCCTAGTCCTCCCCTCCGAGCATCTTATTTACCTCAGCTTCTCAATGTTACAACCCAGGAGTGTATGTGTCGAGTATTATATGAAAGGCATAATATACTTCCCAGTGGATGGTCCTATTAAAACCTCGCTATCGTGCTAAGTTGTGATGTCTGATACGTGGGTCAGCGTCAGTAGTGCGCTCACACTGATTGCGGTAAGGCGCTCATATGACCAGATAAGGAAATGTATGAGAAAGGCCACACATCCAGGTAAAATTCAAAGTGTAAGTTTTCCAATGGGTCGCTCAAAATTGTTCACTCTAAAGATTTTTTTGTTAGCTAGTACTGCCCGCTGCGATCTTTATTGTCTGGGCTTATTAAGGCATACCGAAAAACGTGCCTTCAAAATAGATCCACAAATGAATCGAAATCAGTAGCGCAAATTCTATGCATTTATATCTAGTCTTCCAGTCAGATATCTTTATTTCATTTACGCCCAGTAATCTTCAATATTCTCTCTATGGTTATTGTATAAAAACTGTCTCCTAGGATCTACAGCGTTATCGTAAACAATAAACACGGGTGTTTTAGATGTGACCCTGGTAGCTCTTTAACGCGGACTCCTTGAAACCAACAAACAGAGAACATAATCCCACTATCCGCGACGTAAACGAATCCAGAACTGGCGGCTCGTAAAGAAAGTTCAAACAACATTTAACAAACATTTAACAACATTAAACAACATTTAAGAAACAACACTTAACAAAATTAAATTAACGATGCCAGTTTATACTGCTGCCTCGCTACCCAAACATTCATATACATTGACTTACTCTTACGTTTACACCAAATTGGTATCCATTTTGCTGCTTCACACTTAGGTGATACAATTTTCACTTTGTTATTTGTAGATATGAAATCGATCATTGAAACCTTCTATTGTTTGCAGAAAAATGCTAACAAGTGTAACAGTGTCTCAACCCAGAAACGGAGAGACCATAAATACCCAATAATGAGTAAATTATTTTAACACATTCGAATAGAGCTCGAATGGGTACTCGAGCCTAAAGAGGGGGCAGACATTACTGTAAAGCTAAATAAAAAATGGGGAAATTAAAAGAGGAGGTAATTATTGTATCAAATATTCCTATCAGTTTAGGATTAACCTCTCAATAAAACGAAGTCCGCCATCATTAAGTAGCTTGAAGCTTGATTATTTCTTTTCAAGAGAAACTGATGATAAAGACTTCACAGAGTCTCTGGAATAAACAGCATGACCAGTTTAATCTAGTTTAGTCTGGATAATCAAGATGCAATACCACCATATTACACTTTGATGTTGCCTGTTTTTGTTTATAAACAAGAGCTTTCATGTTTAAACCTGATAATTCGGTTTGATCCCCTTTGCTTCGGTCAACATGGTGAACCAACTGTAAGGACTTAGTAAAATGCGCCTGCCCTGCTCTAAACGCTTTATTTCTCTAAACATTGTACCATAATAAAAAAAAAATGTCGAAACGCGAGTGATCGGCAGTCATTAACGGTGCCACCTGAAATTACTGACCTGTTCGGTCATAGGTTCTGTGGGTCCAGACCCAGGTTGAATCTGTGAAACGGCTAGCCTAAGTGCGCGAGGAAGGTCGCCTTGATCAGCCATAATCGATGCTGGCAAATTTCGTGACACGAAATGTAAATGAAGAACAGAACTTTGTAGAAGAAATTCTCGAATTAACGAAATAACACGGTATTTAGTGCTCTACCCGAGACAGTTAGCCTAGCATCCACCGTGACACAACACAGAAACCGTGCGCCGTCCAAACAATCACTGAATGGGTCCATTCGACAAGTAATCACGTAAGTAGACCCAACAAGTCAGAATTGTACAATACTAAAGCCCACTAGTTTAATTTCTCACAGTTACTGAAAATTCTGAGAGCGTAAATGTTCTTGTGGTAATCATTTTAATAAGACTTCAATGCACCGGAACCTTTGCAAACAAATATTGAGCTTTGTCTTGTTGTTTTATACACCAGAGGTCTTATTCCGCGGAAGAGGGACAGTGCGGTTGCGAAAATGCGTTGAGAGTGGTCGAGATCCCGATTACTCTTATCGTAGAGCTGCGACGCGAGTCATACAGTTACAAGTTACACTGTGACAGTGGTGAAAATTTGTTGAAAACTATAGGGGGCATATTGCCTCCTTTAATTACTAGTTTACAGCGTGTATAGCAATTTATATTCTCCACTTACTATTTAGAGAATGAGGGTAAGTTCCGAGGAGAAAGTTTCGAGCAGAGTTGAGCACGACTTTACACCTGAAAATTTTGGTTTTATCCATATATTTTTAACACTTGTAGAAAGTATCATTTAGGAGTGTGTGCGCGTAGTTTCACTAAGCTTAACTTAATTCGAGTGGAAGTTTCAAAAAACATAGCATTTAAAACAAGTAATAAAATCTGATCGCGATTCAGTTCATTTATATACACGACGAGGGGCTGGTGTGCGATACCCTAAAGTTTTGTCGATAAAGAACCCACAGAATAACTCGAAGTACTGTGCATACATAGCTTCAGCCAAGATTGAATAAAAGCGACGCCTTTGTTGGCAGCCAACTCATCTGTGCTATACGTTTGTCTGTGTAAAGCAGTGGGTGTAAACAATGTCTGTGTTGCATACTTACGAGCCAAGAAGATCAATTTATTTCAGTATACCGGCTGAATTTCCAAAGCGATTATCAGCAGTTTAATACAACATAGGGTCTTTCTATTATGAGACCTTTTATCTATAAAGGCAATATTGTTTCTAACAGGCACGGTGCAGCTTAAGTTTTTTTTCTCTACTTCACCAAGGCTTTTTTTAAATTCCAACTGCGTTATGCGTAATCTTGTATTTTTCCATGTGTACACAAGAACATTTTAAATGTTCTTCTGAATTTAGATCTCTAGAGTTAAAAAGGCGGCTATAGGGCCTCATCTCAGAGTATCGAATTCAATTCTTAAAAACGAATAAACCAATTGAAAACAAGAACAGACTATTTACCTTGATCACTGAATTAGAAAGCAACACATTAGACGCGGCACTTCCTGACAAAGTACCTACCTCATGTAAAGTACCTATCTTATTTTGGCGATCTTGTTTGACACGATTGAATCCGGGTTCCATCCGAAGTTTGTTTGTTTTACAATAATGTTTCCGGTAATTGTAATTCGTTATAAAGCGATCTAACCCGGCTGACGCACAGGATGCAACCGGATGTAAATTGATTCGACTAGTCCGCACCAAATCAAGTTGAATATTTTAATAAGTAAATTGTTCTTATGGCATTTTACTGTGCTTTGCGGTACATTATTATATTTTTCTTTGTTTCGTTCGTACTTAACTAGACAGCATTTAATAGTCACCAGACGAAACCTCTTTGAATATTTAATTTAACCTTGACCGTAAAAGCGTCCGTACTGAAAACGATAAATCCCTTGATCAATTAATTCTGAATATTGATTCAATTCAAGACGCAGAATGTCCCGCGAGCAGGCCCAACCAGCTTCCATTTCATCAACTGCAACAGCTGGTACCCAGTCTTCGAATATTCTCGTGCACGTTCGACAGAGAAACAACCCAGTACTCACTTTCATTAAAAAGGTTTAGTGATTTAGAAATCTTTCTTTTAAAGATGAATCTACTCAATAATGTGGATACTAAATAATTGTTAAAATATAATACACTTACGGCTGAGCTATTTGCTAAGGCTTACCAGCGAGTTTTCTGGAAAAGGCCCAGAATTAGAATTAATTTCTTCCCAGTAGTCTTCGAACGTATGTCTGTCTATGACGAACTTCCTTAGACCAAAGCGGGATTTTGTATCTTTTTATAATCTAAAAAGATTTTCCTAATTTCTCTATATATTATTGAAGAGACAATGAGATTGTTTTGATTAGTGGCCTTACCTTCGACATGAATCAACAACTGTAAATATGATTGAAAAGCTTTGAAACGAACTTCCCTATTTTCTGGCGAGACAGCTTACATCATGTAGTGAAGAGACAGGACAAAGTTAGGAATATTGACGCGAAATAATGATTTCTTACCACGGGAATAATAGGTGCTATTCTCTATTAGATAAAACTGCAGACATTATTCATATATATATATATATATATATATGCCATGCACTGTATGTCTCTTTCTAGCAAAATCAAATATATTCAACTTTCTTGCGACAAATACGCCTATATCTGACATTGAATGGTGTCTACCTTTCTTTCACCTACAGACATCGTCTGACATTTTTCTATTGTTATGCTCTGTTCTGAATAAACTATTTATTAATTTTTGTTTGTTACCAGGTGGCTTATGAGTTCCGAAACGATCTCCTGGCAGATTTCGTTGTTGGCCAGAGTTCCTGTTGTTTATTTCTCTCTCTTCGCTATCATCAGACGCAACCTCAGTACATAGTTAAGCGCCTAGATGAGCTTCAAAACTACTTTACAATACGGATTCTTTTAGTCCAAGTTGATATCAAGGTTAGCGCGTACATACTGTAACCATCTTAACTTTTCGGTTTGAAATTTGTAACATTGGATCAATGAATAGTCGTGACACTTTTCAAAGAGGTGCTGACGCTACCCAGGATATTTTTTCGCATATAGTAAAGGCTCCATACCTAAGGGATAGGCTTATTTAGTAACAGTCTGAGGTGATTTTCGATTAATTTTAAAACTCAAATAAAGCGAGTTCTTCTAGTCGGACCCATTTTTGGGTTTGGTTACCTACTGTGAAGTACTGCTCTTACCTGGTTTTTGCCTCTGACCCCGACCTTCGGATGCCACGAATGCGTTACTTAATGAAATGCTTCCCCCCATAAAATCCTCGCTGTACATGGTACACCTATTCCTATTTTTATCGGTAGCCCTTTGACCTCGATAAGACGTGAATGAGAAAAAGTGTAGAAAAGAGTTGTTTTTTGTAATACGGCATAGCCATCCTTAGCGCCTTATGTAAAAACAACATCTTGTGACCTGTATTAATGGACTTTGAGGACAAAGGTGGGGACTTTTAATGTCATGTAAAACTCTTAGCAGAAGAAAAATGAAAAAATGTAACCAATAAACAGAGAATACTTATGCATCAAACTGAAAAAAAAAAGCTAATACACCTGGTAAAGCTACGTTAACCACGATTGGGTTTCTCAAGTGTGCCTTTATTTTGTCCGATTTTTCAGAGTAAGTAATGTAAAGCAATGATTTTCTCTACATATGTATTCTTTTTTTAATTTTGGATCTATAACCACAATGCTTGGAGGGAAATCTTTTTTGTTTTGCCAATATTGTCTCTTGTAGGATATTAACTTATACGCAAGCAGGTATCTATTCATTATACTTACCACGTTATACTCAATCACCATAATTAATTGTGTTTTTTCGGGCATTTGATTACTAATAACCAGGATCCGCCACCTGTTTTACGTGAAATTAACCGAATGGCGCTTCAGGCGCGTTCAACTCTGATGATCGGATGGTCCCCTCAGGATATCGCGCAGTACCTCGAGTATTACAAACTACTTGAACACAAGCCTGCTGACTTAATTAAAGAAAAGATTGCCGGTAGGTTAAATTTTCACTTTGTACTCGTCATGACAAAATACAAGCCTTAATGAGCTAATAGCTACTATACTTTCTCTATCTTTCGTACTCGTTTTGAGGTGTATTAAGGTATTAAGCATATTCTCTAAGCATATTACGGCATATTCTTTAATATACCGATCTAGCCTAACTAGACCTTTGTATTCAATCAGTCCAAATCGACCCCGTAGAGTGGCCGGATTTGGCTGATTTTTTTCTGGATCGTTGGGGTGTGACCCTGGAATGAGCTGCGCAAAATGCAACAAATCGAATTGGGTCCGAAAATTGGATTTCGAGAAAAAATTATGATCTTTCACACTTCGACTATTCAGCGGTACTTGTAGTGATGATGAGCATCGACGAATTAAATTAAGCAAATAGGCCAGCGGCAAAAAGGAGCGAAACAAATCCTACGGGTCCACCTAGAAAAGGCCGATGCTTTTCTACGCTAGTGCAAAGCTATGCCCAATCTTGCTTGTGCCTTTTTTGCACTATCTTATCTTCTTGCATATATCCTACTGCGTAACGTGTTAGTAATGATAGCACTCACTTTGGATTTTGGGTACGACACTGAAAACTGATCAATAAACTTCGTCCCTTTTTTTATTTTTAGAGCCTTGAAATCTGAAAAAATTGGCGTCCAGTTAGGGCTAGCTATACTTAAATCTGTATTGCTATAGACATTATAAACGATATTGTCGTTGTTTTCGTAAGCATTTTAATTTGTACCGCGTTGCGCAAACAAGTCACTTTGGCTACCTTGAACAAGTATTTCACTCTATAATGCATCATTAATATTTCAGCGGATCCTTACACACGCGCAGTAACTGCGCTTTCATCGATAAAATCGATTAATAAGCCGGACGCTATTGAACTTCTTGAAAACTTTGGCTCTTTGAAAAAAATTGCAGAGGCTACTGTCGAAGAGCTCGCCGTAATTCCGGGAATTGGGGAACGGAAAGCGAAAATGATTTTTGATACCTTCAGAGAACCATTCATGTTTGCTGCTAAGTAAATTTTGCTGTGATGATTTGTTATCATAGATATGCTTAACTGTATGTAATAGTGTAGATGGTGTTGATATAATGTGATATCAAAGTCTTCTATCAAACACATTAGTGGACGGTAATAAAAAGAAGACGATCCTTTGCAGTCCACGTGTTTTGTGTTACTGGAATTTTACTACCGCCACCACGGTTGTATTCGTGTGTATGTCTTGTCGCTCTCAATAAACGGAAATTCGTTTGAATAAATAAATTAATTTGATGCAAGTATGTAATTTTATGACTGCTATGAGTAACTTAGAACCTGATGATATCTTGTATTATTTTTTTTCTTTACAGCAATATGGAACTTTTGACACCTGTGGTACCGGCTGCAAATAGTCGAACTAGATGATGTTTCAGATATTTATCATATAGCTTTAAAAATTCGCGTCATTCGACAAACGTACTGGTCTCGAACCAAGACTTTCGTATTGTGATTTAGAGTGGTGACAAGTGCCGATCAATCGTAGATTTGTAATAATAATAGCTAAGCCGATAGCTGTAGTTTACAGGCTACTGAAAGATACAAATTATTGCAGACTATCTTTGTTAACGTGTCTAAACGAAGTTGTACTATCATGGAACACGGTGTCTTTCGTTTGGAACAAAGTCCGGTAAAGATGAGCAGAGGATTCCACAGAGGAAAAAACGCGCAATTGGCACATCGGAGCATGGACTCAGTCGCGAGTAATTTAGAAAAGAAATATCACACAATAGCAAAAATCTTTCTAGTGCGGCCAGCAAAAAATACAAAAGCTAAGGCTTCTTACCATGTACTCGCAAAACGAAACAGCATACTGATCGACTATATCGAATCCTCAGCTTCGGATTAGAATTTGAACTTTCAACACAGTTTTATTAACTACTCAAGCTTTATTGCAACTGCAAAAGACTGTGAGCCCGACCCAAAAAAAACACCAGCTATACTGATTTGTTAATAACATAAACGAATTGACGAACGACGGATTCATCACTTTTTGATAATTTATTATAAACAGTTTTATTGGTCGAGCCGCGCTCGCTGAAATTGATAGTCTGATATGCTGTTCACTCGTTATGATTCTAAACTACCGATTAGTCGTCACTTATACTACTCAACACAATGATGACGCGGGTATCTTATACCTATGCTTAGACAGGTCAGAAAACGTTCAACATGCTACTAAGTCATTGCACAAATGCAAACGAGAGAGTATGAAAAGCAGCCTTAGATCTTGTTTGTGCTTGTCAAAAATTCCGCATCTATATCCATGGGCGAAAGTTCATATTGCTTACAAACTATGGGTTACATTTGCCGATATTCAATGGTGAAAATAAATAACAACGTACGGCAAATAGGATGCAATGTAACGTTTTTATTAACCGTCAGACAGAAACTGAATCTAAAGGACCGATGGGTCTGATGGTCATATGTTTGGTACGTCTATTAAATATTGAGCAGATGCTCAGAAAAGCAGAAGATATAGGTTAGAGCTGAAGTTCAGAAATACCTCAATTATGCGTTCCTAGAAGCAGGTTTTTGCATACCTATAAGTCTAGAACGTATTTTTCGTAAAATCGAAAACGATATAACACTCTAGATTGTTATCAGTTATATAGAAAAAGAGTAAATGGCATCCATTTTCGTAACTAGTTACCTAATAATTTTGATATATAAGCGGCGATATCTACTGTCGATTCAAAACGAATGTTTTCTATTCGATAATAGAACCCTACTACTAAGATTTCTACGTCAACATATGCCTTAGCCATCGGTCCCCCTATGTTTTAAATTTTACGTGCAGTGGTGCCGGTAGGCATTCCTTCGGACGCTAGCCACCGGTCCCAACAACTAGCAGGATCGTGCATGTCCTGGCTTTTGGTTAACAATGTTATAGGAAATATGGTTCGGCAGTGTTTAAATCGTATAAATGAATAAAAAAAAACGCAGTTAAAATAGCACCTCAAAAATAGGCTACGGCTACTCGGCTATTCAAGCGAATACGTTTAGGCTTTGCAGGCATTTTAAATGATTAGCTACTGTTGATTTCTATAGGCACTTGTTTTGGATCGTTGGAAAAATATAGACTAACGACAGCCGAGATACGGTAGTCCATTTTAAAAACCCAGACACAACCGATCACAATGGATCATCGGACCCAGACACACCAAAGGTGCATGAATCCTAACTCCTTCACACTCGGACCAAGACGACAATTTGTTTGTGTATCAAAAGAGAGCTAAAACAAGTTACGACAACGAAGATCCTCATTTGGCCTGAGTAGCTAGGTGCATTCAAACACACCAAATTCGACAGCATTATCCTTTGCGAAGTCGTTTTTTGGGTGGAATTTAAGAATAGAAATGGTATATAACGCCTTATGACGAACAAATTAACTAAATATATGTAAGATAGGTAACCCATGCAATGTCTATGAATATTTGTTAGAGACAGTTTATATGGGTGCGAGGCTTCCGCGGAAAGGGAACCTCAAGTAGTCCATCGGAAAGATTCTGAAATACCTTAGTACTGGACTGTACAAAGTTAAAATTGCCATCTTTTTAAGTGTTGCGTCAAAGTTAAATTTACTGTTATTTCTTCGTCATTAAAAGATCGATTACGGAAAAAATATTTGCCATTTCTCTACAGAGTGCTAGGTCGAGTATACAACTAACGGTTGAACCAAACCTAAATGGGCACTGAATGACAAATGAACACCTCCAAATAATCCAACCAAATCTAGGAAATTAATGCCTATGGGAGGTAACGAAAATCACAAAAATTAATTTTTAGATATTTTTTTAAAGTGTAGGTGTCATGAAGGTAATATGCATGTATACGAAATTCAAAAGTAAAGATGACAACTTTGAGAAAAGACATAATAATGTTATAATTTCCTAGTAGCTGTAGAACGACATTGTTATTTTGTGAGGCGCACCATTTATATAGCGGGGAATGCTTGAGAAGGACAAGAGGATCAACGAGAATCTGTCGATTAGGTGTATCAAGCGCACAAGACTATTTAACAAGAAAGACCCGAGATAGGTCGAGACAAAGTCATTCTTCTCTAAAATATGCCAGGCCGCATATGACAAAGGCAAATGAAAATCGCCCTGCTAGAACTGCCCCGTGCCTACTTTATTCTCTAGGCTTCGTTGTTTGAATCTGAGTAGAACGTGTCCTTGGTAGATGAAAACAAAGAAGTTGCTTATTTCCCAGTCTAATATAATAATACATTTTTATACTGAAAATCTAGTTCTTACCTTTCTCTAAGAATAAACCAACGTAAGCAATAACCGAGTTCTATTGCAGTTTTTTTTTTGCAAATCTTTTAATTTCTATCAAGAGAACATCAGGTTTATTCGCTATTTTCTCGTTTTATTTCAAACTGATCTGCTAGCAAATGAATTGGCTATGTTTGTAACTTCGACAGAAATTTTCTCCTTGTTGCCAAAATGATTAAGTAGTTTGTAGTCTGTAAGCAAAATAAGCCTTTGTAAACGCAAGTGTCGACGGTACCTGCGGGCCCCAAAGGCTGTTTTTAATTTGCGCGTAATTATGTTCGTGTTTGCGTAACACAATATACGGGCACTTCGTCTAGACTTATTCCTAGAATACCGAAGTGACCAATCCTAAAAAAGGATATTGTTCTTTATCATTAAGCGTGGATTTTAATTCATTTTGTATCAATTAAGAGCTGCTACAAAATGACAAATTATAATTTTATTATAAGCGCTGTTCAAAAATCATTTCAGGTAAATAAAAGAATCTAACAAGGAAAAATAATTATTGCTTACTAACCTGTTAAACCCAACTTATAATTTAACAGATTAATGTATAAGTACAAAAAGAGGATAAAAAATGAGCAGTAATATTATATAGTTTTTCCCCATCTAGGTATAGCTTATATGCATGTACATATACATTATTTCTAAGTATTTAGAAATTATATTGCATTTGAAGTTGAACTTACGGGTTTAATACGTTTCCTTTCGTTCGCAATTCTGGATACATAACACCATGTCCTCTAGCCGATTGAAATAAAAATTCCCTTGCTGATTTTCTATACAAGAGCCCAACATTTATCTCAAACCCAGCTGGGTCTGAGATATTGAAAAACGTCTGCCTGCAAAATTTTGATTTAACACTGTATGTTTTTATTACTAGTCCGTCATATCTACAACAAATTTCATGCTATAAATTCTAATCGTTTACAATACGGGCTTGTAGCTTTTAGTTTTCTATCATAATCAAGTTACACAGAACTTGGTAGAAACATTTTTTATTCGGCTTGCTATTGCTATACTGTAAAAGAATTATAGTTTGATATATATATATATATATATATATATATATATATATATATATATACTCTAGTTTTTTTCTTTTCCGCGGCCGGCGTCTGATTGCGATTGGAAAGAGTGGTTCCAATTCAGAATATGCAACATTAATCAGCTTATATTAGTTCTACTATAATTAACCTATCGTCGAAATATTGTTTACAAAGAAACCATAAAACATGAAAGGTCGTCATAAAAAGTAGCCACATTCAAGAAGTTGAAGAGTGCGGTGAACAATTGCTTGTCTTGATTCTAGTAGATAGCTAATAAGTACCTATATGATGATGTGCTTTTTGACAGGACTCAGGACAGTGGGTCCAAATACAACTCACTTAAGATCTCAGCCCTAATCCATGTAACGAAATAGTTTCTTTCTCATTAAATGCTTGTTACATTGCAAGAGTTAGTTTCTTTCTTTAATTTTCTGTTAATCGTACAAATTTCATAATCTAAATAGTTTTTGCCTCATGCGCCACGGCTACAAAATTGAGCAACGAACATATCTAATTCTGTTGCATTAAGCCCCCTTGATCTCCAGCACTCGAAGTTTTTGTTTCTCTGCATGCTTATATGCTCCCTTACATGGTAGCCAGTGACCAAAGAAGATACAGCCTTTGTTCTTCCTTTGATATATCTTTTAGCATATTTGGCTAAAGCGGACACTTGTCCGGAGATATACTTCCAAGTTTAGAACCTTCGTCCGTTTTATCCCAAACTGTTCCACCAAAAGCGGTTTCGATTTCGTTCGTTACCTTCAGAACCCTCCTTGTTTCTACTAATATTTCTTCATATCCATACACCATACCGTTCTTCGTTAGTGCCCTGTGACAGCTTCGCGACTCGTCTATCGTGTGCTTTCTAAAAATCCGAACGCCTTCAAGTCTGTCGTCCAGCTACCAC